AAATGCGGCTCTAGCGCCGATTTGGGGCATTGCGAAGGATCCAGCTCATAAAACTTCTTCAGCTTGATCAGCCGTTGGCCAGTTCCTATGCTCTGGTGATGACGCTCAGGATCCTTGGCGGGGGGTGCTTGGCGACGTCGTCGACGGTGTCGGACAACCGGGTCATCGTCAACAGTAAGATCGATAAGATTTTCGAGTTCTCTGTCGGCGATGTCCTCTTCTTTCTGTTCAATGATGTCGAATTCACTGTTTATGGTGATGACAGAATTCTCTCGGTCTTGAGGGCGGTAGGCGATGACCCTTCGCTGCCATTCTGTCGTGGCTTGATCCTCAAATGCGTGATCATCGTCCACAACGATGGCAGCGAAGGGGCTGCTGCCCGAGCATCCAGCGGTAGTCATTGCTTTGATGTTCGAGGACTGGCTGTCTGATCAGCTGGGGGTGCAAGAGAAGGAGAGGGAAACGACTCACGTGGCTGCCTCTTGCCTGGTTTGGTGATGTGTAGGTCTTAAACGAGAATAAAGCGTTTCCAGGAACCGAGGAAGTATGTGTGGAAATATTTCGGTCTTCGAGTCTGTTGAGCAGCTGGCCTCAGTCTGAAGAACTTTTGTGAGACTATCCTTTTCCCCTCTATCGCTGGCCCATTTGTTAGACCTTGCCTGCCGCTTGTTGGCGCCACACCAGGCCCTTGGTCGCTCGGATCTTGGTCGCGATGTTGTCAAGACGAAAGGCCCGAGTGGGATAGTTGGAGGCGAGAAAGGTCTACGGGGCTCCGGTTCCTCAGATTGAGAAGATGAAGCCGATGTGGCGTACCTGAGAGGTTGAAGTTGCCCTCGAGGCAAGAACTACGGCCACTACCTTCCCAATGGAGGACAGGATAAGGAAGAAGGAGGACGAGGAGTATTTGAGGGTGGAGAAGTTTCTGATATGGATCTAGCATGTGAAGAAGATCCAGGCCATCTAGATATTTGGTAGAGTACTTGAAAACAACCGGGTAGGTCGCTGGTCAGGTAATCTCCCGCTTCTCTTGAAACGGATAACCCGACTTGCTCTCACCCTCGCCTCCTCCCATGGCTGTCCTTCACTTCTCGACCCAAAGATAGATTATAACAGCAACTGTGAAGTCTTTCAGTCATATTCATATTCACATCCATTTGAACGCTACCCCAAAGGCCGAAAGACAGACTTGAGCTCCCGAGATGGCGAGATAAATAGCACAGAATAATATCTTACCTCCTTGACGACTAACTATCGTCTTCTTGCTTCAGAGTGTCACAATCTCTCTCGGTGATTTTTACATCAACGAATAACCCAAAGTCCTCAAAATATCTTTAAAATCATTGTGTGAGTGCTTAGACTTTTCCTTGTGGGCCTTGGCTCCCTTCACCAACGATTACCGTGAATGCTTAAGGTGGTTTCATAGGCCCTTTCTTCCCTCTCTTCCATCTCTTTATCTGGCACTCAAACATTACTAGAGCAACACAGGAACCTTTTCTTTCTTACAGAAACTTGCATGAGTGAGGTTTCTCAGGCAGTAGCGATACCGTGAACAGCAGTAGATACCCAATGTAACGCCAAGGACCAGGAGAAATAAGGCAGGCACCCACGCCCCTTGACACCTTCCCACCTCTGCTTGAATTGTTTCCTTCCAAAGATCGAGGCCAGGCACCTTCAGATAAGTCCCATATGGATCCCTTCAGATAAGGTACGTAGTTGAGATGGAAGACCTCGCTTAATTCATCCGTAATACACAACGGCGATTCACGCTTTCAACCAACCTCATCCCAACATCGCCCCTCAAAGCGTGATTGACAACGACCAACGACCCTTACAATTTCTATACATCAACTCAGGAAAATTCTCTACAGACTGAATGTATCAAGTCTCGAAAGAGGCCAGAAACCTACCAATACCTCTTTTGCTGTTAGGCCCCTGATCGCCATAACATTCCCCTACAGTTGTGCCGCAAAGTAGAGCACATCATACGGTACTCGCACTATCGCACTGAATTAATCAACACCTACTGAGTCTTCGTGGGATCTTGACCTATTGTACTATTTTTCTCGCACAATTATGCAGACTCGAAGTGCGACCGGGCGAGCTGCCCAAAAGTTTCTTCTACCTTTAGAAGAAGCAGAAACGTCCAAACAGTCTCCTGGTAAGTGTGCCACTTTGAGAAGTGTCGTTTCTCTAATAGATGAAGGAGGCATACATTCACTTGTAGATGAGAGAACATCTCCTTCACCAGTAGAAGATGGAACAGTCCAATTGGCCGTGGGCGCAGAAGCAATCCCACCGCCAGCTGATGCAGGAGCGATTCAATTACCAACACACAACGGGACGAGCTATCGGCCAACAGATAAAGAGGCGTTCTACCAAACTTCTACCATACATACCACCCAAAGGAGTCTTTCAGAGCCAGTGGACCAAGAAAACGTGAGTTCACCAAAAGAAGACAGAACGTTTAAGCTGACTTATATCAAGAAAGCTATCAACAAAACACCTTCAGGGGGCACAAGAATGTTACGATCAGCTGCTCCCGGGATGAAGAGACACGCTGATGACAATGCAGAGGATGATGACCATCCACAATCGATCAAGCGAGTGAAAGTCGCATCCAAGGACGCAACATCTACCCAGGACACCAGGGTAGATCTCCTCCATGGTTTAGGGAGTTACATTCCCAACCTTGAGGCCATCATCAAAGATGGGAATACGTCACCAAACAGCTGCTCTGAAGATTTTGCGTCGACGAGACAGAACATGACTGCAGAAGATCTAGAAAAAGCTTCCAAGAGATACCGACGATCAAGGAAGCCAACAACAGCGACCGCGGATGTCAATGAGGCAGAAGAAGAGGCGGTCAATCAAGCAGAAAGCGACCCAGATTCAACTGACAACTTAGATTCAGAGGACGAACAGAAGATCGTTAAGAAGAAGGATTATGGACTGATGCCAGGAGAGACACCGTACCGCGACTGGCCTGGACCTAGTGCAGGGGAGTGCCAGGTTGTCTATGACATCCTTGTTCAGGAATACCAAAAGAGAGAACAGAGTGAAGAGCCTGCAAAGCGCATGGCACTCAACTTCATACAGCCAGCCACAATACCGCCAGCTTCTGCCAATGTCGCTGGGTGTGGAGAAGTGCCATGCTTGGTTGATGCCATGATGAGAACAATCATCAGCCAGTCGGTCACCCGAGAAAGCGCCGACAAGGTGATAGACAACATCATCAAACTGATTGGTATGCTTGACAAGAAAGGACCTGGTCCAGAGAGCATCGATTGGAATGCCCTGCGACAGGCCCCGAAAGATGCAGTGCTGGAGGCTTTTCGACCAGGTGGACTTGGTCCCACAAAGTATAATACCATCAAGACGTGCCTCAGCATGATTCGCAAAGACAACAAGAAGAGGGCAAAGATGTATCTCAAGGAGAAAGAAATGCAAGATCCCACAAATTCGCCTGGGACAGCGAGACTGAGCCCAGAGCAAAGGGACCACCAGCTCAGCAAGATTAATGCGGGCATACTAACACTGGATCACATCCGAATCATGAAGCCAAATGATGCCATGCTGGAACTCGTCAAATACCCCCAGGTCGCAGTCAAGACTGCTTCTTGTCTTCTACTATTCAATTTGCAGATGCCCAGCTTTGCGGTCGACACCCATGTACATCGGATGACAAGATGGCTGGGATGGGCCCCCATGAAAGCAAGTCCGAACGACACATACATGCACTGCGACTTTCGAGTACCCGATCACCTCAAGTACGGACTTCATCAGTTGTTCATTGAGCACGGTGGAAATTGCTACCGCTGCCAAGGGTCGACGGTGGAAGGTACTGCTAAGTGGAATAGTACTGTCTGTCCACTTGAGCACCTTCTGGCCCGTAACAAAAGACAGACTCAGGCGAAGGTGAAGGACAAGAGTGTGAGAGAGTCGGGCACACTCGATGTGTGGGTAAAAACCACCAAGCCTGAAGCTGGTGTACCAGGGGCCGATTAGACGAACATATCGCTGAGCCCGGGGTAAGAGAGCATTAGATTTCTGGAACCAAGAAAATACGCTACATTGATTTTAGGTGGCTAGATCTATCTTCGAGATGGAGCATCCGCAAAAGAGCCACGTCATGAAAACACTATTTTTAGGGGAGGCATCTGGAGGATCTATTATCTGCTGCGGGTCGCCATTCCCATCCACGGCATGATGTGATGGGCGCACGAAGTTACCCAGAAGGGCATATGGGGGTGCTTCATTTGGCAGATCTGATTGCGGACTGGCGGAATTCAACTGGCTTTAGCAAAAACATGATTGAGAACTGCTAGGCAGTGACACTCCCTGATTTCCACTATGCCATACATTATTGTTGCTATTGCACTAACTTGAGGCCGAGAAAACTCCTTGTAATTTGGGACGACTTTGTCTGTGATTCATATCTGACTGGGTAACAAGAACTGAATGCCAGTGATCACTTTGGAGGTGATGAACACCATGAGGGAGCCCAGTCATGGATTTCTATTCATGTTGGTCTTCCAACATTGCCATACTGCAATTCTAGACTTCAGAGAGACGCCGCTGGTGCGGTCTCAGGAAGCCAGGATAGATATTGGTTTGCCAGAAGTAGGAATGCGTAGTTGTTCTTTGAATCCATTGATGTATGACATAGACTCATTAGCATGGGCTAAGCTAAAGTCAATCATGGTGTTGTTGAAGAATGCAGGGCAAAGAAGGTCATCAAGGGACCAGTGTTGGATGCTTTGAGGTGAGATTTAAGGTATGGTCTGTGCACTCACAGTGAAAGCCTCCTTGTTCCTGTGCCACAGCATTGTCCAAGTTAGCCACTGCACAAACCCCAGTACCCTTTCAGCCTACCACGCGCCACCTTCGATGAGGTACCTCACGATGGGCCAAGTCCCCACCCCCTTGTCGACACGCTTTAATGGGAATTGACGCCTGGCCGCGTCCTGGCCGGGCCGGAGCGTGTCACTGCCATTTTTGCAGCCCACTTGCCTGGCTTCACCTTTTGATTGCCTTCAGCTACCTTCTTTCCCCCTCCAACAACCAAATCAGAAGATCGTGGGCTTTCCCTTTCCTTCCCGCGGCCTTCCTCTTCCAAGCTCATCGTTCCCTACAGCGGGTTATTTCGCTGAAGCCTATTTTTCTTTTTCCCACGAGGCTATTTCCATTTGCCTGACCTCGAGACCGTTTCTATCGCAACGCCGAGCAACCGAGGAGAGACAACCACGAAAATCGACAATTTTCCGGCTCGCAGACGCAAGACCTGTCACGTGTGTCTCTCAAGCTGACATCCGCAGGGTCTGACTTTGCTTCATTCTTGGATCGCGCGCAGACCTCAGCTATCTCACCACCTTCCGCGTTGGTCGCAAGAGCACGACGAGTCCTTCCTTCTGAATTCACCACCACCACTGCTGAAGCTCCTTCGCCTGTCGCGCCGCGAGTCACTCAACGCAAACCATCGAGCTACCTTGCGCTTGTCCGATCTCGATCACCCTCACGATATGCCTCGACGGGCTCGATCACTGCAGTAAAATGGAGTCACAACCGGTCGAGGATATCCTCGAGCAGAGCTATCGGAAGTTTACTCAAATTCCTCCCGACTTCCACCTTCTCTGTCCCAAGGTTGACGAGGATGATTTTGAGGACTACGACGATCTGAATACTGATGGCGAAGATATCACAGCTCTAGAGAAGAAGGAGAGGGTAGAAAAATGGAAGGAGCGGCTCGACATCGCCTACTGGACTAGTCTTCTCCTTGCCTATGGCAAAGATAAGGCTGGTGTTTGGCTCGACGCCTGGGGCAGCCGGATGGCTATTAACCTCCACAACTGCGACAAGTGCGTCCTCAACTGGCACATGTATCGCAAGAAGTATCTTCAGGTCTTTTCCGAGTAAGTTCAGACTAGCCAGAACGCCACGAGCGTTCGCCGTGACCATGCTAATGGCAATTTAGGAAATGGCCAGAGGAAGCCGTCGCCGGCATCGAGAACTGCCTCCACCGCTTCGATTTCGACCGAATCGACAAAGGTCTTCAATGGGCCAAGGACATCATATTGAAGGTTGAGAATGAGGGCCGCGCCTTTGCGAGAAGCGACTTGGGCGAGGAACAGGGCGCAGTTTTGCTCACTGTTTACGAGGCTCTATGCTGTATGGCATACGTCAGCGTGCCGGAGAAAAGAACTTTGTTCCAGTTCGTCTTCGTCCGCCTCTCTGGCAAGAAGCCACTGAAGCTGGGTGAAAACGTCCTGCTCCCTGCCATGACCCAGTTCCTCTTTGGAGAAGACAAGGTCCGCCTCCAATTCGCTGAAAAGTCATGGGAGCGCCTGCGGCCAAAGTCATTGACACAGGAGCAATTCAACTGGGCTATCCACGACAACTTGGTGGTAGCCATTCAGTCAGTTTCAGCACTCAACCCTAGGGATCCCGCATCCCTCCCGGAGATCGAGCGTTTCTGGAAAGCTGTCAACTGGATCATCAAGACCTTGGACGAGAAGCTCTTGTTGCACGGAATTCGGGGTATGGAGATCAAGCCGAGCATCTACGACTTGCTCTTCGTTCATATGCAGTGCGAGTCGGAGGCGATCCTGCTGCTCATCATTCAAGCGTTGACTGTCCTGCTCGAGACGTCACCACAGGCTTTCTGGGATACCATCGGTGACGCAAGACCATTCGTCGTCATTGAACAGCTCCTCTCCCAGCCTTTGTTCAAGCAGCTTCTTGCGCAATCTTTGACCTTCGCCATCAAGTATGACGATGGCACGGGCAAAAACGACTCGGTCGAGTCAATCACAACCTCATGGATCAACACATGGATTGCTTCACTCAAACGTCAGCAAAAGGGCGATGCTTGCGAACAGCTGCTTCACCTGCTTTTCGAGCAAGTCATCCACGACGCCAGAATCGGCGAGCAAGGAAAGGCCGCTTGTATCAGGGCTGGCTTAGATGCTCTAGACCATGTCCTGCGGTCATTTCTGGACCCTACGATTGATGTCATCTCAGGCACCACATCTGTCTACATCAACACAATTCTCAACGTCACTCTTAAGTACAAAGATATCATCAACGAAGGAGCGGACACTAGAAGCGCGGATCAACACACACTGGGGGTACCCAAGGCAGCCATGAGCGTCATTAGTGCCGCCTTGAGCTTGGACTCTAGAGTAACTGCTGAGGAGCATCTCGAACTTCGCAAGGCTACGCCCAAGCCGATCCAGACTGCCGTCACCCGCAAATCGGCAGACTTGTGGGACGGATTCCTGGAGAACCTTTACGAAGGCAAGCTCATCCTAGCCAAGACCATGCTTATGGCAATGGCTCCTCTGATCAACGTTGAGAGATTCCATCCTAATAGGAAGGAACCTGAAAAGTTGGATCCGGCGAAGAAGAGCTTCAATAGCCGTTTTCAAATGGTTGCGGAGGCACTCGGACGCGTTCTGCAGCGAATGTGCGAGTTTACATCACCGCAACTCAACGAGCTGTGCCTCATGGCCCAGAGCATTCGGCCCATCATTGCTTTCACAGTCCACGGCGAGGACGAAATCAGCAGTGCCAGTGCCGAACTTATCAAGTTGATTACCGAACAGCCTTCCAAGGCGGACGCACTTACCGTTTTACTTGAACGGAATCTTAGCACCACTCTCTCTTCAATGATTTTCGCAATAAGAAGAATCATGGAGCCGGCACATGCAGCATGGGGACCCGCTCGCAATATCATCAACACCGCCAAAGTCGTGCTCTCAGCTCTCGGTGATCTTTCATCTGGCATCCTCAGATCCAAAACTTTGGACAGCAATGAACAGATCGCCGTGACTGGCTGGTGGGTTGCTCATTGGAGATATATCGAGGTCGCGTTCACATCTACCGGCAACTGGTCTCATCTTGCCGATATCAAAGTGATGCAGGACTTTTGTCGCGATGTCATCGAGTTGGCAGACGGCATGCTTGCCCAAGATGGTCTATTTGCATCGGCGCTGCAAGCTACTACCTCGCAGAACGATGCGAAGCAGGCAAAGCCGCAAGAGGAAGAACTGACCAAGATGCAACAGCTTCTGAAGGATCCTCAGCGTCATCTCTTTGGCATTGTCAGGATGCTTCGCCTGAGGGATACCTACCTGGTTGAAGTCACGGTCAAGGTTGTGGCCAAGTTACTGACGAGACTGCGTGAGAATTCAATCGACATCCCCAGCGACTCTAAGAATTACGTCCAAGACTCCTGCGTCAAGTTATCGACAACCGCCCGCTACCCAGTCACTACCAACATGAACGACCAACAGCGTGCCGAGCTTCTGAAAGCTCTGGGTGAAGATGATGACATTGAAATCATCCAGATCCAGCCGGTTTCTAAGGAGAAGCCAAAGAAGCAGAGTTTCCTCGATGCCTGGTCCAAGTCTGGTTCTGCGACACCAACGTCCCAGGCCGTTCGGTCAAACAAGGACGACGTTCTCGAACTCAGCAGTTCCGTCGACAAGAAAAGATCAATCTTGGACCAGATGGCCGCTCGTCAGAAAGCGTCGCCAGCCATTCCCCGCATGGCCGTCAAGCCCAAGCTTGAGCCAGTGGTCACTCAAGCATCGAAGAACGCCCTGATTGAGTCGCGCAAGAAAGCCAAATTGGAGAAAGCTAAGAGAGACGCCGATGAGGTTGCGAGAGTTCGCGCTCTCCGGGGAGCCGCCAACGTGGGTGAGGGCTCGGGGCTAAAGGGACTTAGTGGTGTAGTTGGCAAAGAACACACAACGCAGAAGAGTCAAATCCTGGTCGACAGCGACGAGGAAGAAGATGATGATTCTGGAGATGAGGATCTCAACAACCTCATCAATAAGGGACAACAAGGCCAAAAGGCAGTTGATGAAGCTCAAAGACGTCGCGAACGGGCACTGCTCGAAAAGACGCGAGGCCCAGTCAAGAAGGTAAAGGTACAACGCTCTGCCAAGGATATGCGTGCGCGTTTGATCCCCCCGATGGACCAACTTCATCAAGCCATCCTGGAATGGGACATATTCCACGAGGGCAATGATCCGCCCTCGACGTCGTCCTCAATGGCGATTACACGGGTTGCAAGCTCGTATGCTCACCCTCAGGAGTATAAGCAGACCTTTTTGGGTCTCCTGATTTCTGAAGCCTGGCGATCTTTTGTGACTGCCAAAGATGAGTCGACGTCTAAGCCGTACGGACTCAAGATCGCGTCTCGTATGAATGTTGATAAATTCCTTGAAGTGACTGCCAGCATTCCCAAGATTGAGAGCAAGGAAAGGCTGCTATCAGAGGGTGACATTATTCTGGTGTCAAAGAGCACCGATCCTCTGTCGGATAAGTCTGAAGCCCATGCTTTGGCAAGAATTTGGAAAACCACGTACAAGAAGGAAAGGCTGGAAGTGACATACCGCTTGAATAGCAAGAATAACCCCTTGCTTGCCATCAATGCCCTCGGTGTTGGCGCTGAACTCCAAGCCGTCAAAATCACCAACATGACGACTATTGAGCGAGAGTATGCAGCCCTTGAGAGTCTGCAGTACTACGATCTCATGCTCGAGGTCCTCAAAGCCGAGCCATCGCCCATTCTGAAGTACGGCGACGAGGCTGTCAAGGGCGTCATGCAAAATTACCAGCTCAACCCTGGTCAGGCCAAAGCCATTCTCGGTGCTAAGGACAACGATGGCTTCACCTTGATTCAAGGGTAAGGAATACTTCGTTCCTCTCATTGTTTACATATGCTAATACTTTACAGACCTCCCGGTACGGGTAAGACGAAGACAATTGTGGCCATGGTCGGCTCGCTGCTCACGGGCAACATCCAACCCCCTGGAACGGCTATCAAGCCCAAGCTTCCTACCCAGGGCCAAGCCGCCATGCCGAAGAAGCTTCTGGTATGCGCTCCCAGTAACGCCGCTGTAGACGAGCTGGTGTTGCGTCTGAAGCAGGGCGTCAAGACGATGACCGGGTCTTTCCACAAGATCAATGTGCTTCGTCTGGGAAGAAGCGATGCAATCAACGCCGCCGTCCGAGACGTCACTCTCGATGAGCTGGTCAAGAAGAAGCTCGAAGGAGACACTACGCAGAACAAAGCCAAGGAGGAACGCGACAAGATGCACAATGACGCGGCCAAAATCAGAGACGAACTGGCGGAGCTTCGACCCAAACTGGACGAGGCGCGCAAAAACGGCGACCGCAATCTTTCGCAAGCCTTGCAGCGAGCTTTCGATCAGTTGAGGCGTGCTCAGATTAACATTGGAGCCAAGATTGACGATGACAAGACGAGCGGCAACACAGTCAGTCGTGAAGCAGAGATTCGACGCCGGCAAATCCAGCAAGAGATTCTTGATGGAGCTCAGGTTCTCTGCGCCACGCTCAGCGGTAGTGGTCACGAGATGTTCAAGAACCTCAACGTCGAGTTCGAGACGGTCATCATCGACGAGGCAGCGCAGTGTGTTGAGCTCAGCGCCCTGATTCCGTTGAAGTACGGTTGCACCAAGTGTATCCTCGTCGGTGACCCGAAGCAGTTGCCACCCACTGTGCTTTCTCAATCCGCCGCTAGATTTGGATACGACCAGAGTCTGTTCGTCCGAATGCAGCAAAATCATCCCGACTATGTCCATCTTCTCGACCGCCAATACCGCATGCACCCCGAGATCAGCTTATTCCCCAGCTTGGAATTCTACGAAGGCAAGCTTGTGGACGGAGAAGATATGAGCGCACTCCGTCGCCAGCCTTGGCACGCAAGTGCCCTCCTTGGCCCCTACCGATTCTTCGATGTCGAGGGTACCCAGTCGAAGGGCAGCAAGGGTCGCTCTCTGGTCAACCACTCCGAGTTGAAGGTTGCCATGCAGCTTTACGAGCGATTCAAGACGGATTTCGGACGAAACTACGACGTGCGCGGCAAGATTGGTATCATTACGCCGTATAAAGCTCAATTGCAAGAGCTGAAGTGGCAGTTCGCGCGTCGTTACGGAGAGTCGATTACCGAGGACATCGAGTTCAACACCACGGATGCCTTCCAGGGTCGAGAGTGCGAGATTATCATCTTCTCTTGCGTCCGAGCTGATCCTACCGGCGGTATTGGTTTCGTCAAGGACATTAGACGTATGAACGTCGGTCTCACCCGTGCTAAATCCTCTCTGTGGATTCTGGGAGATTCTAGAGCCCTGGTGCAGGGAGAGTTTTGGAATAAGCTCATCGACAACGCCAAGCAAAGATCACTCTACACCAAAGGAGATGTCATGTCAATGCTGCAGAAGCCTAGCGTTCTACAGGCGCTGCCCCCGTCGCCGCCGAAACCCGCGCAGAAGAATGACTTTGATGCTGAGATAGTGGACCAGCTTCAGCTCAAAGACGTTGACATGGCAGATATGGCGCCCACGGAGCAGCCCCGAAAGCCGTCTCAGCCGGCCCAGCAACCACCGACAAACTACCCTGTCCCGGAGCGTCGACCAGGCTCCTGGGAGGGAAACAACCGAGGCGACGCACACCATTCTGCCGCTCGAAACTCGGATCGGCCACCAATTATCCAATCATCTACGGCGAAGCAAGAGTCCAAGAAGAGACCATCTGATGCCAATGAAGGACAGCGTGGCGCAAAGAGGGTATGTGACGACACAACCAATGATAGTAGCAGACAATCTTCCCCAGCAATTCCTAACACAACAATTATAGATGGCGACCGAACAGAACCGGCTGCCCAACAGACCGCCACCGACGGGACCCAAAGCCATGATCCAGGCCAAGGAGCCGAAGGCACCGAAGCCGGCGAAGGACCCTTCTGCCATGGTAGCCCTCGGTCTGACACCAGCTGCACGACCGCCGGCGATGGAGACGACGGTATCGTCTTCGAGGACGTTGCCTACCAACTCTTCACTTCCGCAGAACCGTAATTTGCCACAGAGAGTAAGTCAGCTAAGAGACCCTGAACTTCTGAACGAGGCTAACTCAAACCCTAGCCTCCTGGACAGGGTGGACCAAACGGACCAGTCATCCACAGGAAGAAGCAGAAGGCCGATCCCTTCATTCAGAGAAAGCCTCACAAACGTTAGGCCAACCTACCGGAATTGCGACGCGACGATGCTTTTTCCATTTTTTGTTAGAGTAGACTCGATACAGCGCCTGGATTGGGCACAACAAGGGTTTTTGCATCACGGAGACAAGGGACATATGAGCTCCTGGCGTTTACAGGTTTCTTGAAGCAAGGGGAAACATTGGGCATCATCTTGTGACGGCAACAAGGTTTGCTTGCCTCTCGGGAATTCTATCTTTTGGTCTGGCCGTAAGAGAAAGAAAAGTTCTTTGGCACGGACGTTTGGCCCCTCGGGGCAAGGATGCATTAGGGGAAAGCTAGGAAGCAGCTAGGAAAAGCAGCTTTGGGGGGGGGGGGAAGGCGAGGCGAGCCCTGGTAACTGGCATCAGGTTTAGGTAGTCTAAACAATGATGTGCCGTCCGTATAAGGCACATGTATCATTCAACGCGCGTGCCTCTTAACTATGTTGGGAATAAAAGAGGCAGGAAAGTGACATGGCATCATATCGTGTTGAGTGTACGGAACTTGCCAACTTGGTGAGGCGGCCACTTATGCAGGGGCCGGGGATAGTATCCCGCTCTCCCGTAGTTTGGCTCCTAAAAAAATTCTGTTCTTCACAAGTGTCGGCGGGATGACGACGGCGTGTGTACGGTATGTGATCGCGCACGCGAGTTCGTTAGAAAACTCTTGAGAAAAGATTGTCACGGTAAAGGGATAAGAGGAAACCAGCAGAGGGCTTACCGGCTCACCGAGTCTCTTAGATGGAACGTTAGCTATTATCTTAGTCATTTACATGGATTTCAGTCTTTTTTTTCTTCTTTTCAATTGAGTCACTTCCATCACGGCATCTCGAAGGCAAAACTAATACCTTACTCCAGAGTCCCGTACGGAGCAGGCTCCTGTTGGAACCCAAGACATGGCAGGGGGGTCGTAGAGGCGACGGCGCGTGGCGCCTTCTGGGGGGGATTCAGGTTAGATCAAGGAAAAAAAGGCGTCGTCGCGCTTTTCGCGTCGCGTGTGTTCGGGTGGCTTGGACACTTTTAGAAACAGCGAAAGTGATGATGATTGGGGAGGGTATGTGATGTATTGGAGAGGAGAGGAGAGAAAAGAGCTAGTGAGCAAGCGTGGTTTAAGTGTAAGCAGGGTAGAGAGAGAGAGAGAGAGAGAGGCGAACTTGGAGGAGAGCCTAGACTGTGAAGAAGAAGAAAAATTTAAACTTGCTAGCTGCTAGGCCGTCCTCGCGTTTACAAGCCTCGCCGTTTTGGCGTTTTGTATTCCCTTTTTGAAGGTTTTGTGTTTTCGAGAAGGAGGAGGAGGAGGTTGGGGGAATGGAGAATTGAGCAAGTTTTCAGTGTAATGTGATCATCGTCGATCACCTTAGTTTTGGTCGGATTCTACAAGCTTTTGAAGTTGTCGCTTGGGGTTTTACTTGTTCGTATGATGATGGCGTGAGTTGTCCCGCTTGCCTTTTTGACTTTGTCAGCCTTTTAGCTTGACGCGGTTAGCCGACACGAGACACGGACGATACGGATGGGATACCCGTATGTTTTCCCGGGGGGTTTTGGTGACGGGACGCTGCTGGTGAGACGGGACCATCACCGGAAAAGCCGTTTTTTCTTAAGGAAGGCGGATCTCGGACGGACGTTTTGGCGAGGAGACAGGTGTGGCAGGTGTGTCTTCTAGGACTTGGTGGAGGGCTAGGTACGTTAGTAAGAAGGGAGGTTTTGCTCGGTGCCGAACGGGCGGTCGGCGGCGGCGGGCGGCGGGCGGGCTTGGGCGCGAAGGTTATCGTATATACTGCGACGGTAGTTGCGCCAGTCCATCCCGGGAGATGGGTAATCCTGCGGTGGCCGTCGTCTCGGAGTTGTGATTTCTAGATGTATGGTTGGCTTACTTGGTGTACTGGATGGTCTTGGCGGTGCTTGGTGATAGCCGGAAGGGATCGTGTAAGTACTCTTGTGTGTGTCCGAGTGACGGCCGAAGATTTGTACTTTTGTCACCTCCATTCTGGTGAGGTTCGTGGAAAAATAGAGGAGAGACTACGTGCGTGGAAAGAAAGGAATCAAACGGCGAGGCAAGGCAAAAGGGAAGCATAGCATAGCATAGCAAAGCAAAGCAAAGCAAACGTGGCTCGGTAGCGGGAGAACCGCATGGCTTTTCCCCCCTTTGGCTGCTTGTGTGGCTTGTAATTCTGTCTCTTTACGAGAGGCGGCGAATGATAGATCTGGGGGGCTTGGAATAAACAATTTGTGAGCAATCTTCCGCCCGTTTGGGTGAGCCTGACACGCCTTACTCCCCTGGGAGGGATAGGCGAGCCGAGAACTTGGAGGAGATGGAGGGGACGGCCGAGTCAAGATTCGGTTGCTCGGGGCACTGTCTCTCTGTTAGTCAAGCCTCTGTGGAGAGCTTGCTTTCTTTTTCACAATTTGATAGATGGACCATGGGGAAGGCTTGGAAAGAAGGAGGGAGATCTTGGTTTACGGGAGCCTAGAACTTGGAGGGCGAGATGTTGTGTCTGACTCTCAGGGTAACTAAGAATATGATTCAGATGTTTGTGATTCAGATTGGACAAGGAAAAAAGAGAGAAACATTTTTGTGTGGAACGTATTCCGTACTCCGTACTCCAAAGACCCAGGCAGGATCTGCTGGTGCCTACCAATACTTAATACCGTGGTGTACGTAGTAGCCCAGACGAAAAGGATGTGGAGGACGAGGAGGATGAGCGACTAGGATGGCACGGTGGACGTCAAACAAGGTCAAGCAGCTCGGGTTGAATGATTTTGTGGAGAGAGGAGACATGTGTCATTCGTTCATCTGAAGGTTTTGACGGGCAGTTACACGATTCTTTTCGGGCTGGATGGGATGGACTTGTATAGAAAGGGAGGACGGGGTGTCCCCTGTCTGCCTGTGCGAACCATTCCAAAGGCAGCTTAACCGTAGCTTGCACCAACTCAGCAAAAGCTGGCAACAAGATCCCTGACAACGGTCCCCCTTTTAGGTGTCTCTGATGGGGTAGGCGATGCTGGGCTGGGAAGATCAAGGTATGTGCTTTTTGCCCGGCCCATGGCTGGATCTCGTAAGTCTTGAATCTTGGGTCGGACAAGTTCGGTACGGCGCAGGCATGGGTCGTTTCTTGTTTCTGGGACAAATGTTTCGGCTCTTGTGCACGCGGAGAGAGTGAAAGAAAGGGTTGCAGAGCGGCCTGTGTTGCGGATGAGGGATGGGAGGTAAGACAGAGGGGTCAAGCGGGATTGTTGAGCGGACCGGGGGATGGAAGATGGGGAAAGGGGGGCGTAAAGGAATGACTAGAAGCTGAGGAGGGCTAGAGCCTAGAGCCTAGGAAAGCTAAGGAAAAACTCTAGGCTTTGCTTGGTTGAAGGTGGTGATGTGTGATATGTGTCGTGAATGTGATGTGTGTGTGATGAGGATGGTGGACGGGGGAAAGAGATTTTAAAAAAAAAAAAAAAAAAAAAAAAAAAGTCTGTTCGCCGCGCAAGGGAGAGCGAGGGAGATGGAGCCGAGAGTTCAGGTCGAGGTCGAGGCCGAGGCCGAAAGGCCGTGGTGTCCCCGGCGACTGGGGGTTTCTTTGCGGAATACTACCTTGCCGTCGTCACCGTACAGTAGCATCACGATCCGGTACGGGGTCTCGTCGGGAGGGCGATTCGATCATGCGGTTGTCGTCGGTAACGATAGGCCGGATCGTTGGTTTGGTCAGCATTACCTATGGGAAAGGGTCCAAAGGGAGGAAAGGGAGACAGCAAGCAGGTAAAAGAGTGCGCGAAGGAAGCCGAGCTCTTGGAGCGATGTGGAGGGATGGAGTTGAATAGAGTGGAAACAGCCAAACAGGGCTCGACAGGCCTCGGGAATCGGAGGCAGGGAGGATCCCTCACGGGGGATGCGTCCGGCTGGACGGACGGGAAGGGGGAAGGGGGGGAAGCTCCACGGAGATCATTGGGATAAGTTTAGCGAGCGGGATGCAAGTTGTGCATGGATCATTGGCGGTGCAGTGCAGAGCTGGATGCCGGGCTGGGGTTACGAAGTCAAGGACATGTGCATGGTTACCCAGCGGTCCGATGCATTATTCATAGCCGCGAGCAAGGGGGAAGATCGGGAGAGGGCAACGAAGGGGACTTCAGCAGAGCATGGGCCACCAAACTATGAATGCACCGAGGGTTGTATTGAGGCAGGGGGAAGAGTTGATGAAGATGCAAAAGAGCTGAAATGTGCGTGCATTGCAGAATTTGTGAGGCAAGCATAGGCTATGTGTGAGTGTATGAGAGCGTAAATATCTTCAGTAGCTTCGCATTCCTTTCCGTAGACAGATAGATAGTCGACACGTCGGATGAGATCTACAAGAACCCACGGAACTAATGAATGTAACCCCCGAACCAAAATATCAGCCAGATGCGGTTTGTGCGCTGCATAAGCCGATAAGCTTCCTTCATGCCAGATGCGCTGAGACTCACTCCCTGCACTTGGGTCAAGTGAAAGTCACAAGTTGTGAGTGAAGAATGAGTGAGTGAGAGGCTCGAGATGACAAGTCACGTCACCCTCGGGCACCTCGCACCTTTTTCTTGCTGGCGGTGGGCCTGAAAGATGCAGGAATTCAGGGCTAGGGAGGAGGAACTAGCGCTTGAGCCCGTTGCCGGCGTTGGGACGGCCGGGTTTTGGATTGTGAGATGTTTGTGAGTCGTCTCTGTTAGTGAGAGACTCTTCTCCTATCCATCGACCTCAGGCAAGGTAGTTTCTCTGAGCATGAGCAGTCTAGGTCGGTGGGAACATGCCGAAGCTAGCATTGCTTCGATTATTTCACTCTCGCTCATTTGGCGATGGTTTTGACTGACATTGTGTACAGAATCCAAGATTGCAAATGAAATGAAGGCTCATTGTGTGTTATTAAACACAACGCAGTTGTGAGACATGATCAACCGAGAAAACGGCCGACGTTCTCTGCATGCCTTACAAGGTACCTTATCTTATGTCCGATGAGCAAAACTCATAATTGTAAACGGAAGACGGCCTGGGAGATGACGGAGAGAAGCCAAAACAAGCCACAAATGTCCTGCTATTCTTGCGGACGGACACGGAATCGACTTAGTTCCTGCTTAGTTTCTTAGTCACCACTCATCCTCGACCATTCTCTTTTCTAGCTGGGTTGCCGTCATATGAAAACGGTCGCATCATTACCTCTTTCGGTACTCTGTTTTCCCATGGCAATCTTGGATATACCCGTCAAATTACATCGACAACACCTCGGGCCGATCAACATCGAGAAAGACCATTTACAGAGGGAAACAATGTAGGCAATTACAAGGCAGGCCGAACAATTGCTAACAACGCCAAAAGAATGGAACATCATTCTATTGGGCATCTGACACAAGAGGCTGCCGCCCCAGTGTATTGGTCACACCGTGGGTCCAGAGCAAGACACTTCAGAAACTAACACCAACCAAGGAATTCCAGCTTTTACTTTGCACTCTTCCACCAGATATTCCACCAAGACAATGTAGCAAGAGAAGAGCGACAACTTGACAAGTACCTTTCTAACAAACGCAGCCTCTCACAGGTCTGACCGTGATATGAACACCCTGGCTGCACATCACCACCCACCACTGAGAACTGCAGCGAATCTCATCGCTATCGCTTCGCATCGCTGCATGCTGCATATGCTGCCACCGTGCGCGCTGCACCCCTACCGCATATCCCTGGCCAGGGCCACCCAGCGTCCTGGGCGGCCGTCAGCTTTCTCCTCAACCTCCAGGCTCCCAAAGTCTTTTCTCTCCTATTCCGTTTATCCTCCTTCAAGGATCTCCTGGTAACCGAGCAAATAGGGACGAACGGGCTTGGGTCCTTGTTGTCCGACGCACGCCAAACGTGATGATCGTCGTTTCTTTTTCTAACCCCCGGTCCACCGTCCGTCTGCCATCTTCATGCTCAAGCCCGCTCTTGGTCCGCACTCTTTTGCTGCCGGACGTAACCAGAACCAGGTTTGCCTAGCTGTCAACCGGGACCCGTCTGTCTACCTGCTTGGATTTCTTCCGATGACAGACTGGCAGAGAGCAGAGCAGGTACGAAAGGGGAAAAAAAGCAAACTCCCCCTTGCAGTTCTCTGCTTCCCAACCCACTGGGCTGCGCCGGGATGCCCTCACCCGGCAGCTTCTCCATCTGTCAACTTGTCAAGTTTTCCAAGTTTGTGTGTCTCCTTTGGGACCTTTCGCAGCCGATACCGCGTACTTGGTCACATCTCAGCAAGAAACCCAATGCTGCGGTCTCGCTTCCAAACTTGGGACTTGAAATTGACTCTCGTCTCGCGCCCGAGCACTCTCCTCAAGTCAAAAGAGTGACACACACTGGGTACACTACACGTCTCCAAGTGGTGGACCGTCCTGGACCTGCAAGGCGCCGGCAAGAAGGAACATCACGGAGCTCCAGTGTGGCGCTGTCAAACTGGGTATCCTTTTTTCTCTCTCTTCGCATCTGGGCTTTGGGGGCTTCCATACGCATCCGTTACCACATCGTTCGTTTTCTTTGGCCCTTCTGGCTCTGTTCTCTCCAAGACTTGCCTACTTTTTTCTTCGCCGTCACGCCTCGTTCGCCGCCCCCGTATGTCCCAGATTTTCCTTCCACAAGTGTTGTCTCTGGGGAAGAAGCCTCGTGGACGTTCGCGCCTCCGAAAGCTACCTTAAACGAGGAATAAGAAAAATAAATTGCGAGCAGAGGCCAGCCCGACCCCAAGTCTCAGCGCCACGAGTCCACCGAGCGGCCCCTAGACGAAGCGTACTAGACTTCTCTTGGTGACGACGCCTTCTTCCTCCCTTGATCTGCCCTGAGGTCCCTCAGGTTCCTCCATTCCCCCACTCGCCAGTGACTTACCTACTCCTCCACTTCCTCCGCCGCCGCCGCGCCGCGTTTACGGTTGTTGGTCTCTTCGCTTCGTCTTCCCTTGCCTCAAATTGGGTCCCTTTCTACCTACCCCCTGGGCACTGGAGGGGGGCTCCATCTTCGCGAGAGACTTGTGGACGAGGCAAGGTAACTCGAGAAAGTCTGATCATGGCGTTCCACCTTCGAGGCCGCTAGCTCTCGTTCCCATCATTTTGCACGGACGCCTCCCCGCGATGGTTTGACGCTTCCCACTTCCACCGTCTGCCACCGTCTGCCTCCCCTCCCGCATTCTTTCGTCCCAACGGTCGGTCGCCCGGAGGGATAAGGACATATATCGATCCACTGCCGTCCCCCAGTCCTGGCGTTCCCAGAAAGAGAGTGCGGGAGATGATCCAAGTGTTGCTCCATGAACCCTAAGCCTGATACTGTATTGTTTCTGTTCATCTCTCTTTCCCACCTTTCCCAACTCTTTTTGCTCTTTTACCAAACCTCGTTCGTTGCCTCTCAGAGGTTGGATGAGTAAACGCCACTCATAGACGCAAACAGCAAAGCTCAGTACCTACTTCGATCTTGCCTCGCCTTTTGCGTGACCATCACTCCACCTATTCGACGTGTGTCGCCAAGCTGCCCGTCTTAGCCAGATCTATTTGCTGCGCCGCAGACGACTGACTTAGTTGAAGACACACCCCATCATTGTGCGACCCTCTGTCAAAAACATATTGCGCATCTGGAACCCTTCTTTCTTACCGGTGTGTTGGAGGAATAGCTTTCGGGCATGCGGTCTCGAGGCAACATATCACACAGTTGAAGCTTTTCCCACCGAGGGATAAAGAGATGGTCTTTTCAGAGAATCCAGTCAACAGACGTAGCGAAGTCATGGTCGTCTCATCGAATACGGGTCCGCCACGGCTCGACCTCGCACTCGGCCGGGGTCGCCGCGGCACGTTTGACAGCTTCGACAGCGGCAGCGAACGCGGATTCCACCCTCGCACGGCACGCTCGTCCAACGACCTCTTCACACAAGCCCTCGGCAGGATCGATTCGGCAGATTGCGACTCGGAATGGGGCGCGGTGCGCGCGAGCGCCAGGGAGAACTGCGATAGAAGTGGAGGCATGGCGGACCTCATCGACTTCCTCCGGACTACCTCGCCGCCGCCAGAATTTCCCTCGCAACAGTCCCTCTTTGAAGACGACGCCGCCACTACCGTCGTCACCGAACCCCAGGAGCAGCAGCGGGAGAGATGGGGACTGCTCAGGAAGCTGCGCCGGCCGCGCACGCGGGCCAGGTCAGAGTCGCCCGTCCGCCGGCCCCGGACCGCAGGACTCCCCAACTCTGCCGTCGCGTCCAAGACGAGCAGCGGCAACTCGCATATCGCAATTTCCATCCCGCTCGAGTACTGCCACGTAGGACCGGACTCTGACTGGGCCCTCGCCATCTTCAATGCCACGCCACCATTACCCCCGACTCCCCCGGTCAGGAACAGCGACGAGGAAACTAGGAACGGCGTCAGACCTTATGCTAGTGATCGTACGGTCACTGTTCTCAAGACCGTCAGTGAAAAGGGATCTATCTCGACACTCGACACTATGAGCACCAAGAGGGGATGCAAGGGCGCAGTATCGATATGGCCCAAGATCAACCCCAACCCCATGAGCCCGCCCAGGACGCCTTACACGACGCCTCCCGGTAGCTTGCGCGGGCGCTCTTCAATTTCAAAGACTAGGCGTGACCGACTGCCTCCTCCGCCGCCTCAGTACGCCGAGCTCCCGGCCGAGCCCGTCCATGCGGCCAAGAGCTCTTACAGCAGTCTCAACAAAGAGTGCGGGTTCTCTAGGGACGAGGATTCCATTGCTCAAATCCCCAATACGAAGAGGCCCAGAGCGAGAACAACACCAAGGCGGCCTGAGAACATCGTGCTGCCGCCGAGAAGGTCGAGCATCAAGATTGTGAGGCCGCACCCAGATGCAGTCCTAGACAGCCAGAGGTCGATCGATGGCATCCTGGACGGCGGTTCCCAGCGCCAAAGTATACTGTCAGATGGCCCTCAGCTGAGTCCCGGAGCCTTTTCCGAGGCACACTCCATCAGCCCAAGCATCGCAACAACAGAGTTGTCAGAGCCGGTAGTATCGAGCGCACGGTCTGCAAAGGCATACTCAATGGCATCGATTAAGCAATCCGACATGCCGGTGCTACCATCTCGTCAGTCCTTTTCTGTCCGGCCGGGGAGCAGCGATACAGCGCAGACCACTCTTGTTGGGGAGTCTCTAGCGTCTCGAAACCCCTCCACCAGAACGGCTGCCTCGCGGCAAAGTCGCAAGGAGCGTGTCAAGTCTCTCAAGCAAAGAGACATGGATGCGTTGCGAGCCCTCACGAGGCAAGGACCCCAAGACGATGACGGCGAGAGGACGCCGAGGCCCAGGACCTGCGAAACGGTCATCAGCTCCCTGCGCCTCCCTTCTCGAGATGGTACGTTCGGGTCCAAGGACCACCTACCGCAGACAAAGTTATCCGCCACGAACTTGGCACACATGGCCAAGTCTCAGAAGAAGGCGACAAGACACAACAAGAACGGCACGTCAACAAAGATATCAGACTGGCAGGCCACGCAAGATACCGAGACGGAGACCATAGGCTGGGAGACGGCGCGAGAGGAGCTGACGCCCGGTTGGGAATCCGCGCTGGAGACGCCCACGATCGACTGGGACAAGACGCCGTTTCTGGGAGACATCACGGCCGCCGACAACCGGGCCTCGACGGACACGATGGACACCGCCGCCAACACGTTTGGGAGCGGGGACGTGAGAGACAGCACGCTCAGCTCCGAGCCGCCTCGTCGGTGGGGGAGCCTTCACCGCGCCAGCTGGGCGAGCTCGGTGCCACTCTTGGACCGCATTGGAAGCTTCGCGCCGTCCGACGAGAGTGCCGTCGGCCAGGCGATAGAGATGGACGATGACCACGCAGAACCGCGACCAGCTCGCTTGACGCGCGCCGACTCGGGCACTCTTTCACAAGCGGACGCGGACCGGCTGTGCTCGAACCGCTTCAGCTTTGCGCTGTCTGACGACAAGGTCAAGATCGATGTCGCGGACGACAGCCAGTCCATCGCGGGCAGCATCGCCGCCTTCCCCAAACCCGGCTGCGGTCCTCGACTGAGCGCCATCATGCCCGTCGCCGAGGTCGTCCCCTCGCTTCCGGTGGACGAGAGGTGGTCTGCGTCGACTCTCAACTCTCCAGTCACAGTCATCGAGGTCTCGCACCCACCCTTTGCGACCAGCCAGCCGCCAGGAGAAGCTCCCACGCATGTTGCCCGCCCACATACGGCGGGCAACACCAACCCCGTGCTCTTCAACACCGCCAGAGCCGGGGGACATACCAACTATTCCGATAGCAAACAAGAGCCGACGGCGTCAACTGACGATACCGCCGGCGACGCAGACGAAACAGCCACCCTGCGCCCGAAAAGCCTCCGCTCGCAAGAGGGAGGAGACGCAGGAACAGTAGCAGGAGCAGGAGCAGTAGCAGACCGCGACCCCCTCAACCTGCTCACCATGTCAGCCCGCGAACTCCGCAACCACTACGCCAACCTCCGCAGCGTCGAGGTAAACAACCTCGCGCACGAGATGCTCCGCAACCAGGAACGCCTCGAACTGCGCATGCACCAGCAGGAGCGGAACCAGATGCTCTTCATCGAGCGCCTCGAGCGCTGCATGAGCGACCTGCGCAGCCTCCCCGAGTCGCCCCTATTTGGTCCTGTCGGACCGCGCGGGGGAGCGACACTCCCCGACTGGCCCCTCTGCGGCGGCGGCGTTGGTATCGGTGACGACGGAGGGCACGACTACGTCTACGAAGAGCAGCACATCAGCCGCGACGCCAGACACGAGGTCCGCGTGCGGAGGACGGGCCGTATCCGCGGGAATACCACGAGCACCACCGCCACCACCACCACCACCCGGACATCACAGCGGCAGCGGCAGTCCGAGGAGTCTCACACCCGGGGGAACGGCGTTGGATGCACAGCTGGAGACTTTGACGACTTTGACGGGGACTTTGTGAACCTCATCCACCCCAGACAGAGGCGCCCGTCGACCTCGCACGAGATCACCCCTCGCACCAGCGTCAGCATCGGCGGCGGCGGCCGGGCGGTTCGGGGAAGCAGGCACCAGGCGATGATGATGCAGCCGCTCATCACGCGCGGGGGGCTGGACGCCATGGAGCCGCTGATTCGGGAGCTGCAGATTGCTTCGCGGGTGAGTCTGGAGGCGGCGCGGACTGATTCCAGGACGGAGACGCCGTTGCCGGATACGGAATATTACTATAGTTTGATTTAGGGGAGGAGGTTGATGTCGGACCTCACTTTTTAACTTTTTTCCTATTTCCATCTTTTCTCCTTTTTCTTTGGCTCGGATGTGGGAGTTGGCCGGCTTCCTGCCTTCATAAACTGAAAGGTGTAAGCCGTTGTAGCCAAGGTATTTGATGATGACCCATTTTCTTTGTCTGGATGGCATGTGTGGTCTTTTGGTGTTCTCTTGTGGAACTTTGTGGATGAGGATTCTCAGGATCGGGATCTTAAAATCAGGGATGATGAGAAGTGAGTATACCCAGAGCTCACAGCAACTTTTAGTTCAGTGTTATTTTCCCTTTTTCTTTTTCTTTCTTTTCACGCCCATACCATGAGCGTTGGACGGACACCATCTGCGCTGCTGATGCGAGACGCGATGAGACTCAAAAAAGATACCTATTTTCTTTCTTCAAAAAAACCTCGTTCCCGTGATACCTCATGCAATGTGATGGTATGTGAAAAAGTACCTTACAAGTTAGGCTCGTCCATGAAGAACGCCCAACATCTGAGCTACCATGTGCCATGTAGATCGATGAGATGGAGATCGAAAGCCCCCAGATCTCTCAGGCGTTCGTCAAAAAGGATCTCCAACCAATGACGTCGTCGTCTAATGGGGTGCGGGACCCTTGCAGTAGCTCGTTTCCGGAAAGGGTTGATCTTCGATTATTTTTGGGGGCAGCTAGCGTTTCTCCCCATTAGTGTACGCAGCAGAGCAACAAAAGTCATGATGTCTTTGACCTAGATTCTTTGTGGAGCTGGGAAACTCAATTCAAGGCTGAAGCTGGATAGCTGGTCTTGTCTTGGATGTCGTGCAGCTAACTATTTACTCAAGCTACCTAGCTAATTCAAGTTTTAACTGAGTAGCTCCCATTCTCCTCCCCGTGTAGTGGTTACCGATTGAAACTTGGGACAGACGTTCATTTCCATCGTGTCTTACACGCGATACGTACAGCATCCTCACTCAACTGAAGCCATACACAAAACACATCCAACAACTACTCACCTCCTCTCCCAAACAACAATCTCCAAACACAAAGATACCCTCATACCACAATGTCCCGCCCCTGGATCCTCGTCGCCCCAGCCTCCCGCGGCATAGGCGCCCACCTAACCCGTCACCTCCTCCGCACAACCACCGCCCCGATCCTCGCAACGTGCCGCTCCCCCGACACCACCGCCGTAAAGCAATCCATCCTCTCCTCACTATCCTCCTCCGACGCCAAACCAAAATCACACTCCTCCCCGGCCGCAAAAGAAACAGAAGACCTTGCCTCCCGCCTCAAAGTAGTCACCCTCGACGTCACCTCGGAACCCACAATCGCCGCCGCCGCCGCCGAAGCAGCCTCCCTCTTCCCTTCCTCCACGCACCACCTCCGCCTCGCGCTCGCGACCCCGGGGATCCTGCACCCGGAAAAGAGCCCCGCGCAGATCGATTACGACGACGCTCTAGAAACGTTCCGGGTGAATACCCTGGGGCAGATGATGCTCATGAAGCACTTCTCCCCCTTCCTCCCCAAAAAGTCCGTCAAGTTTTCGACATCTTCCTCACCAGAAAATGACGAAGCAAGAGGCCTCCCGCCATCCCACGCCGTCTGGGCCGCCATGTCCGCGCGCGTGGGCTCCACGGCGGACAACCGCAAGGGCGGGTGGTACAGCTACCGCGCCTCCAAAGCCGGCGTCACCTCGCTCGCGAAATCGCTCGACCTGTGGCTGGCCGCGCGCAGCGGCGAGAGGGCCATGGCCGTGGCGTATCACCCGGGGACGGTCAAGACGGGGCTGTCGCGAGGGTTTTGGGATACCGTGCCCGAGGGGAAGCTGTTCGAGCCCGAGTACGCGGTGGAGAGGATGTGTAAGGTGCTGACGGAGGAGGTCGGGATCGAGGGGAGGGGGAGGTTTTGGGATTGGGCGGGCAAGGAGATTTTGCCGTGAAGACGGGATGTATGAACGATGTTTGTATGAAAAGCGGGAGGAACTTGGAGTCTTGGCGTAGATGAGTAGAAAAGAAGCTCTCCCAATGGGAGTGAAAATCATTCGAGATCTCAAAGGGGAGACACAGGCAGATTTAGCATCGTCATCATTCCATGATAACTGATTCTATAAAAGTCGTCAAGAAACGGCTAGTTGTACACGAGACACGACAACATCTCTGGGTAACTCCGTGCTGTGAAAGAACATTCTCCGAATCACCTCCCATCGCCTCACCCTGCAACCACAACCTCAGACGTGGGACCCCCGCCTTACAAGGCTACATCCTGGAAAGATGCCCCGTCAGGAGAGACGCCGGGCTTCTCTCCCTTTGTCGGATTATCCTCGTCTCCCTTGCCGTCCTCGCTGTCGTCGTCCGACTCCTCCTTTGGCCGGTGCGCGAGGTTCTGCTCGTCCTTGTCCTCCAGCCGCACCTTTTGCTCTTCTTGGTCCACGATCCGCTTCTGCTCCGCCTCCTTCTCTTCGTCCCCGGAAGCCGGCTCTTCCTCCGCCTTGCTGAGGTGGTTCTCAGCTTCGGGCGACTTGGCGGACGACGACGCGGCGGCCGCCGCGTCCCCGTTGCCCTCCGGCGTGCTGGCGGCCGGGGGTGTCGGCAACTCCTTGTGCGTGGGTGGTGTCTGCTGCGGCTGAGGCGTCTGCTGGAGTTCGTCGCTCGAGGGTCCAGGTCTGAGTGCGTCGAGGTAGAACTTTGTCACGCCCAGGATGCGTCCGTTCTTCTCGCAAGCTTCAACCCACTCAGGGCGCACGACGGGAATGTTGGTCTCGACAGCCTTCTCCCACGCCAGGCCACGGCCTTCGGTGGTTACGAAATGCGTCGTGTCGATGCGGACGCTGTCGACAATCTTGGCGCCGATGCGGTCGACCGCCGCGGACAGCGCCTCTCTAGTGGCAGGGGGCATGATGCCCGTGGTGATGGTGATGCCGCTGAGATCCGTCATCTTGTGGGTGCGCACGGTGACCTTTTCGGAGCTGAGGGTGCCGGCGGTGGTGCGCAGGACGAGGTGGAAGGTGTAGTCTGTGTCGACAGCAAGACCGCTGATCTTTGTGCTATGCATCTGCAGAGGCCGGGGAATGTTGCCGGCCTTTTGGCCGTTACGGTGGAGGGAGAGGGAGAGGATGTCGGCGGTGGCGAGCTCGATGGGGTCCCATTCAAGGACGACAGAGGTCTGGGTCGCGTTGCGGCATCGCAGGACGGGTGTCGTGGGGGAGCTGGCGCCAAAGGACGAGTAGATGCGGTCCTGGAGCTCGCGGAAGGCATGTTCGGTCTTGGCCTCTGAGCCTAGGTTGCGGGCGACGGTGATGTCGACGATGCTGCCGGAGGAGATGTTGGGAGGGAGTAGGATAGACGGGAACTCGATCTGGGCGCTTGGAATTAGTATAGGGTCTCATGAGTAGGCGACGATGACATTGACGAGCGGAAATGGAGGCTAGGGCGGGGGATAGGGCGCCGGGCCTTTGGACCATATAGCTTCCCTCGAAAACCGCCCGCAGTTCATCGCCAAGATTGCAGAGTGCATTGGGTATAACGTACCAGACGCTTATCCGGCGTCAGAAGCACCGTGACGCCGGCGTCGACCTTGCCGACGGTCAATGAGACGAGCATCGTGAACTGTGTGTGCTGGTGTTGAGAGGCTTCGTCCCAGTTTTCGAAGCGTGGTACGTGATTGCAAGGTTGTTGGTGTTTCCCGTCTCCGGCCAAGGGGGCAAGGTGGGATCAATTGCGCAGGGTCGGTCGCCGATTCCGTAGGCCTTTCGTCTCGGTTCCAAGGGCGGGTTATCGCGATGACTTCGGTATGGAGGGTGGCCAGGTGGGTGAGCAGGAGATTGTTGCCAGCGATGCTTGTGTATGCGAGACACATATGCTGGATCGAGAGAGGTACAAACGCCAGTCACAGTTAATTACCAGGTTGGCAGCTCCAGGCGTCTCGGCTGGCAGCTCTGCGCTAGCGATGTGATTCGTCGCCAACAACTCTTGCAACTGCCCTTTACACCGTGGAAGGGGCAGTAAGGAGTTGAGGTGGCTGGGTACGTACCTGCCCCGTGCTTCACCTCAGTTCTCATTCCTAAAGTACCTACCTTAAGGTACCTTAATGTAAGTCTTTAATATTGTTCGCTAGATAGTATGACTGGACATTTTGTAAACCGTTATCACTTCTGATGTATATGCTTAAACTGCACTGGGGTTTCTGATGTCCACTCTTTCTCCCAAATTGTGTTGTGTGGTATAAAGGCCGCCGCCAGCTTCTCATGAGATATCAGAAACGAAGGCTATGGGGGAATGCTTCCCTATCTGGTAAAAGAAAAAGTCATGATTTCTATCTAAGGGGTATCATTTGTAGGATTGTGTTACACAGACAACAGCCGAGGCCGTCATCATGAAGATTGTCCATGCCATCAATAATGGTACCATATCCATCTCTCCGCCGCCATCTCTCCACGACCTCCAAATATCCGCATCACGCCCAGAGCTGGCCCGAATTCAGAGGCCTTTCTGCTTCTCTCCGGCGCTTCTCTTCAGCGACCTTGAGACTCCGCTCCTCCCGCCTGCGTTTCTTCTCCTCAATAATTCGGTTTCGTTCTTCCTCCTGTTTCAGTCTTTTCTCCCGCCACACCGCCTCCCTCTGAAACTCCTTCTCAAGCCACTCATCCTCTCGTCGCTTTTTTTCTGCTTCCGCCGCCTCTTTCCGACGCTTCGCTTCGTCCTCCCGTTCAATCTCTTCGCGTGCTCTCTCCTCCAATTTCCTGTCGTACTCGCGTTGCCACCGCTCCGGGTTCTGCTCGGCGTCCTTGAGTTCAATCAGACGGTCCACGGCCACGTCCATTGCCGCCCGCAGATCGGCCTGGGGGAGCCTCTTCACCACGTCGGCGGGGAGTCTGGCAGTGAGGGCTATCGTGCCTGTCAGGTTGCCCTCTAAGAGAGTGTCTTTCCCCGTGCGGTTCCTCTTGGGCCTAAGGAGACGCCCCTCGGGATCGTAGCCTCTGGCTTCCAGGGCGGCGTGGAGCTCGCGCCTCATAGTCCTTCTGGCGGTATTGACAACGAGCGGGCCCCCTTTCTGGGTGACTCCGTACAGCCAAACCCAGAGCGGCGTCTTCTCCTTCATCTGCTCGTACTTGTGCCTGTACAGGACCGTGTAGGGGTGCTCGTTCATCGTCTCGACAAAGTACTCCCTGTCCCAATTTCTCATGACATGCCGTGGAGATACTTGTATCTTTATCTGCTCGGACAACTTTTTCAGTTTGCCGGGGAGTTGCACCATTCGGTAGTCCAAGGCGGCCAGCCCAATGTCCAGGTCGAGGAATATTCTTTTGAAGTGATGTTCCACTGGTAGCTTCTTGAAGTTGACCGGGTGCGGGGGTGGCTTGGTTTGTCGAACTGACGGGAGCTTCGAAGCGTCTTCCTGGGAGGCCTTCAGGTCTTCGCCACGAAGCCTCCGTTTGATCTTCTCCAACTTGTCCTTGCGCTCTCTGCTACGTTCTGATGCCCAATAGTCCCTGCTTTCTCTTTCTTGGCGACGTCTTTCATCTGTCCATCTTTGCTTCATTCTGGAAACGCCGAGTCGTGGATTGGAGGAAGAGAACCAAGAGGCCTGTGTCGCTATGGGTGTACCAAGAGGCAGTCTTCGCATCGTGCTGGTGACATGTTGAAGTCGTATCGGCATCATCGCATGGTCGTCGCCGGGGGCGGTCCTCGGGCACTCATAACTCGAGAGTAAGCTCCGCCGGTGGTATTGAATGATAGAGTCGATAGGTCAGGTCAATCTCATAGAGGCCGGTCTCTAGATTCCAAACGGCGACGAGGCGTGAGTTTGCGATCTGCAATCTGCAGGCAAGCTCCAACTGTTGAAGAGGTGATGCAGGCGAAGCTCTCCCAAAGTGGCTTAGGTAAGTCGAGGAAAGCTTAGACTGTAATGAAGTGGATCATTGGTGCCACAATTGGCCTACCGGCTGTGGCTCATGCGAATGCAATGGACTGATGGAGATTGGTGAATGACACACACACGACACAGTGACGCCCAAGTGAATGTGAGCCACAGCGCACCTTTCTCCATTTGGTGACGGTGACCAACTCACATAAAGATGCCACCCCACTTGACTCATCTGCACTGCAGGAGAGAATGAGAAAAAAAACCGAGCCAGTCCGTTTCAACATCATTCGCCCCTTCCCACTTGAAAGGAACCCACCTGGGCTCACACACCGCAGACACCCGAACAGAGAGCAGTAGCCGCCAGTTCCCCAGCGACAGGACCCCCTGTTCCCTTAGCTCACTTCACTGCCCTGCACACGCATCTGCACAAAAAAGCAACCCACCACAGCCACACCTCAGAGCCCAAAGCCCAAAAAAGCACCATCATTTTTTGTTACGGGGGCGCTTTCCAAACGCACACAATAAAGCCCACCGCCCACTTTCGCACTTCCTCTCTCCAACATCTCGCTCTCTCTCCCCCTTCCAACCAACCCACCCCCCTTCACACATCCTACCTATACCGCTGAGAACCGGAATTCTCACGAGTAGTCAAGATGCCCAAGAACAAGGGAAAAGTAAGTTGTGACCCCCCATTTTCATGTCTTTTAGTACCGAAGGCGAAGAAAGAAGAGGGGGAAAAAAAGATAAATTTCCTCTCGGCGACAAAACCACCCCTCCCCCTGCTTAGTCGCGCGCCCCGCCAACAACCCCGCCCCCTCCTTGCTATTGCTCGACACATACACACGACGCACATTGGCGATGATGATGATGGTGTTGATGATGCCACTGGCGATGGAGGCGGAAGCAGATGGTTGATCATGGAAGACTAACAACCAAAACAGGGAGGAAAGAACCGCAGACGTGGAAAGAACGAGTCTGACCACGAGAAGCGTGAGCTCACCTTCAAGGAGGATGGCCAAGGTTAGTTCATCACCCATTCCCAACCCGGAAAAAAAAAACATCAGACGCGTTCCCACCGCCACTTCATATTGCTACGGATCAAACCAAACCAACCTCCAAAGCGCATCGTAACTAACTTTCCTCTCCTCCCTCCCCCACAGAATACGCCCAAGTCGTAAAGATGCTCGGCAACGGCCGCCTCGAAGCCCAGTGCTTCGACGGCGTCAAGCGCCTCGCCAACATCCGCGGCAAGCTCCGCAAGAAGGTCTGGATCAACCAGGGCGACATCATCCTCCTCTCCCTGCGCGAGTACCAGGACGACAAGGGCGACGTCATCCTAAAGTACACCGCCGACGAGGCCCGCTCCCTCAAGGCCTACGGCGAGCTCCCCGAGTCCGCCAAGATCAACGAGACGGACACCTACGGCGCCGACGGCGACGGCGACTGCAACTTTGAGTTCGACGACGACCGCGACTCGGAGGAGAGCGAGGACGAGGGCGCCGCTGGTGGCGCCGGCAAGAAGGAGGTCGACATTGATGACATTTAAATATGCAATGTCGTCTCTCGTCTTCCGACACTCGCAACAACATTTCAGAGTGTCTAGAACCCCGAAACCTTCCCACTTCTCAGTTTTTCATCCGTCTATCGTATACCGCTAGATGGAGAGAGGTGGGAACGCTGTCTTCTCTCTCAAACCCCACAGTCGTTGACTTCTATGTTATCGGCTGTAGGGTTCCGCGACAGTCAAGGTGTCAAGGGTGGTGCGTTGGACGGGCCATGGTGGGAGAGACGTCATGGCTTGTCAAATCATCAGAACGATAGATCTTACCTCCTTACCTGCGCTTGAGTAATTAAATCCAGTTTGGTCTGTGGCTTGCGCCGCTCACCAAATGTCCATCACATCACGCTCGCCAATCACATCTTGTTACGTGCTATGTCCACAGACTGAGGAGTCTGCGCAACGCATTTGAATTGTGTTTTAGTTCCAATTTCTTACATGCGGTCAGCGGGCTTGCTACGAAAGCAAGGTTGTCCTATTGCTCAACTGCCGTTCTCCAGGTGCGGATATGCTGAGCATCTCTCTGGCACCCCTGGGGTTGACCAACCAAAGAACTGTGATGCTTTTTGACCGTACCCGCCCGCCTGATCCCTAATTGTGCAGCTGTCGCTTTGGATAGCCAAGAATCGAATACGATGTAATACTGCTTCCAACCGCCCAAGAAGCCTAGGCCACAACTTGCGGTACCGGTTCAATGACCCCAAGACTGTTCTTCACACGCGTCCCTCGGCCCTGAATAGGCCATCGCTTACCAGTCGTCGTTGTCGCTTCTCTCATCATCTAGTGACGTATTAGCATTCGCACAATATCAAGACGTGCTGACTTTGACTTACCACTTCTGCTAACTTTCTCCTTTCTCTTCTGGAGGGCAGCGGCCAGAGCGTTGGCCATGTCACCACCACCACCACCACCAGGTGCTACACCGGCTGGAGGCAAGCCGCTTCCATGAGGACCACTATCACTACCGCCACCAACTGTGGCACTGCTTCTGTCGCGGATCTGACTGCGGTCCACCTTCTTCAGGGCCCTGATACCACCAGCTTTCTGGATGTCTCCCAAGACGGCCGAGCGCGAAGAATCCGGTTGAGGAACGGGAACGCCAGAGGAGTACCCAGAGTCTCGGTTGGGCATAGGAGGTGGTGGGGGAGGTCCGCCCAAGCCTCCCGGTGGTGGAGGTGGCGGCGGTGGAGGAGGTGCTCCTGCTCCGGGAGGCGGCGGAGGAGGCGCAGGCGGCGCATTGTTCAACGGAGGCAGAGGAGGTGCCGGAGGGGCATTGGAGGACGGCAATGGCGGCGGCGGAGGAGCATTCGATGTCGGGAGAGGTGGCGGTGGAGGAGCATTCGATGTTGGGAGAGGTGGCGGTGGGGGAGCACTCGATGATGGCAACGGTGGTGGGGGAGGAGGCAGCGGCGGACTGCCAAGCGCCGGGGGTGGTGGCACCGGGCGTGAAGACGGGGGTGGTAACGGCGGTGCCTCTGACGCCGGAGCTTTCGGAGGGAGTGGCGGGCCATCCGAACGTGGGGGCGGCGGCGGTGGAACAGGTCCTCGACTCGGAGGTGGCGGGCCCTGCCTGGCCCCGGCAAATGCGGGCGGTACACCAAATTTGTGTCCAGCAGGCCTTTCTTCCTCTTGCATTGGCGTTTTGGGTGGTCGCGGCGGAGGAGGTGGCCCAGGGTTTGCTGGCCCACCACGAATAGCATTGACTGAACCTCCCAAAGCATGTGCGAGTTTGCCGGCATCAGGTAGGGGAGGCGGTACTGCGAATCGACTCCTCGATGCTTCTGGCGCTGGAGGCTCGCTTGGGGGTGTCGGTTCTCTGTTGACAGCAGGCGTGTCTGCTTTTCCAGATCTTCTGGCAGGCGGGGGTGCAGGCGCCGCGCCGCGCCTAGGTGCGGGCGGAGGCGGAGGTAAACGTGGGCCATCTGAATGACTTCCTCCTGGAGGAGGCGGTGGAGGAGGCGCTCTTCCGTTCCGAAGTTCAAGGCCATTTGTATGTGGTGCTGGCGGAGGAGGGGGAGGAGGAGCATGACTCCGAGCGCCAGCCATTAGTTTCTCTTGCTCCTCCTTGAGGAATTCGACAATGAACTCCTGGTTCTCCTTGATGAACTCATCCGTCAGTCCCTTATCTCGGAGATCTTGGCCGAAATTCTCCCGCCATTGAGGGTCGAAGGCATCAAGAACAGCGAATTCTGAAGATTTATGACCGCCATTCAGAGAAGGCATACGGCCATGTGGCAGGTTCGATCGCGGGGAGTCGGGAGGGGTAGGCGCTGCTGCATGTCGGCCACCAAATAGACCTCCAAGTAGGCCATGTTTATGTGCGGCAGCCTGGGAAGCTCCTCCGAATGGTGTCGATCTCGTAGCTCTGCTTGCGTTCTTTTCTCTATCGTCCATTTTCTTCTTGAATTGCTTGGCTTCCTTCTCGTCGGTGAAAGAGAGGCCGGCGAGGCATTCTTCAATCTCAAAGCTGTGGAAATACGTGCGATCTTGATTGTAGCTCCACGTGTCGAAAATCTCCTGGTCCCAGATGACACCGCGGTTTCCGGACTTTGAATATGTCAGCCAAAATTGCACGAGGCGCCGCGGGCGCAGTCACTCACTGAAATGTCCACCATCTTGAGCCAGTATGTATTGCCGACGAGATCATTTGACAGGACGATGGCGCCCTGAATCCCCGTGTTTGTCCATCTCGCGGGGTTGGGATAAGCAACGTATAGCCTGGCAACGGCTACGGCTTGGATCTTGTTGGTCTGCTTGGGGACGAAGCGCTTGACTGTCTCCTTGTCATCGTCGCTCAAAATCGACGGCATGGTGGCGGCGGGAAGACGAGGAGGGGTCGCCGGAGGAGAGAGGGGGGGAGGATGTTCGGTGGGATCGGTTGGTGAGGTGTCGTTGTTCGTATGTAGTTGAATCAAGGTGGAATTGGAATTGGGACGAGGTGGAGTGGTTGTATGGGTCGTGTGCTTCGCAAGAGCCGCGGCAGCAGAGGCAACAGCCACCTTTGGTCGTGGTGGTTTGGGTTGTACGCGTGTGTAGGCGATGGAAAGTGGCGCTTAGGAGTTGGTGATTGGGCTGGGCAAACAGACACCTCCTCTTTCGGGATGGCGCTTCGTAGTATGATCGCTTTCAGTAGTAGGTAAGGTGAGGTAGGTAGCAAGGACGACAAGGACCCCGAGACAAGTCAACCAAGTGCCGTCGCTTGTCGGTGTTGGAGGCAGCAAGGCAAGGTGCACTGTATGGTACACAGCAAGTAAGGTACAGCTAGTATCGGGACGATGCTTCGCTATGCAATGCGGTATGTGAGGCAGCCACTCTGCTTCCGACAAAAAGCAAGCTGCGTGGGAGAGTGATAAGCTTGTGGTCAAAGATGCCAGAGCTTCCGGGTCCGGGGGCGTTTCATGAAATGTGGACTCGCATCACTCAACGGGGGAACCCTGAAATACCATGTAATTGGGCTTGCGGAAAGGCTGAAGGGAGGCGAAGGTTGTGCCGGGTGAGGGCGAGGATGAGGTCCGGGTGGTTGTATGTGAGATGAAGTAGTGTGCGTGCGTGCAGTTTGCGAATGGGATAATCGGCAAACCTGGGACCTGACCTGACTGAATGGCAGACGATTGTTAGACTCGTTTAGGGACAGAGTGACCGCCCAAAGACACTGGGCTTACGCAGTACCCAAGGTTAGGTACCTTACGCAGCCCAGCGGAGGTTGGCGAGTGGGCGCTGCCTGGCCGGGGCTCGTAACCGGCCCTGGGCCACGGCGGGCTGGTGGCTGAGTCGTTCGTTTCAGTGGACTTTGGCTAGGATGTTTCCCTCCTCCGGGCGCTGCTCGGGCGGCTGGCCATTTGCTCAGGCCCCGGTCTCTCGCTGTCGGGTTGTCCTTCCCGCGTAATAAACACAGGCACCAGCCACACTGCGTTTGCACCGCCACGTGGAATACAGAGGAAGGCTGTCGTCATTGTGGGACGCGCAACCGCAGCGTACGCCGTAAGGTAGCATCGCTGCTTCCCGAAGACACCGGCAGCGGGCATGGGCTGACACGGCGACGGAAGCATAGCGACGATCACCAACAGTCCAGAGTGGAATACCTACCTACTCCCTCCGATCCGTTCTGACCACACTGCAGGTGAATATGCTAGAAAGGCATTGCACGCAACGTTTCAAACTGTCTATGACAGCGCAATTTTTGATGGCCAAGGGAACCCAGGCCAGGCCAAAGGTGTCAGGTTATGTGGGATTTGATTCATGAATTCATTGGCAGTATTAAGATGACTTTATCCACCGGCCAATTCCCGAGTCTCCTTGCTTGTTGGTCCGTTTCCATCGCCGTTGCCCATAGTCTACAATTCGTAATTGGTCATACAAGGCCATGCATCACATTTAATGCTGCCTGATTGTCGTGTTGGTTTATTTGTTCAAAGCCTCCGCCTTGGCTCGGCGCTCCTCCTTAGTTCCCTCCTCTTGGGCGTTGAAGTCCTTGGGAACGGCAGGGCCGGGGTGCGCTTGGTGAGCAGCAAACTTGGGGTCGACGCCACCCTCCTTGATGGGTTGAGTGCTGAACTCCTTCTCCTTGTCGGAGTTCTAAGCAAGATGTCAGCTTCGCTGCTGTGGGTGAGTATGAGGGAGAGATGCTACTCACGTCACCCTTGGTGATGTTGTTGACGAGTTCCTTAACCTTGTCGGCCATTTTGACTGGTGTTTGATTACTTGGGTGGTTTAGTTTAAGAGTCTTTGGTAGTTTGATGGATCGATAGTGTGATGAGTAGTTAACCAGGCAGGCAACAAGAGCAGGACAATGGGCTGTTTATAAACTATCTTGGCTGGTGGCTTACATGTGAGTTGAGGCAGGTCACTGCGGTACGTGGAGGGTTGCGACGGCCGATGACGTCGTCCCGCCCGCAGAGGGGTAGAGGCAGTCACAACCCCGCGAGCAACATCCCCGCTTACCTGGAAGGCCTCCTATGCAAAGACCAAAAGACGCATGTCTATTTGGTTGTGCGATTGGCTCTCTGAGTGTACCGCGCGTAGCCGGGCCCCTTCAGCAGCCATTGATCTTGGCGTGTCTGGATGGGAAGATGCTGGCCAGATGCTGGCCAGACTCTCTGCGCGTCACTGGCGAATTACGTGCATATCACGAAGGCCGCTAACGTGCAACAGGATGGGACCAAAATCTTGACAGAAGACGGCGGCCTTTCCAGTGACAAGCACGCCATGCCCCATAACCCCACGGTTGCATCTGCCAGTGATCGTTGCCGAGTCTTGTCGATTCGATGCATTGTTAGCGCTAAGCAGGATTGCTGTTGAAGATCTCGACATGTCTTGATTCCGTGACCACGGGGTGATTCTAGGAGCCAACGGGGGATAGGGATATGCAAGTGAAATGAAGTAGGCAAAGTGCTAGAACTGAGAGAATCTCTTCATCACCGTTGAGATCTCAGGCAAGATTCTCGAGGCACCTGCTTCGGCGGTGCTCAGCCATGTCTTTGGCAAGTGACTGGACTAACACCCTTCGCCGGTACGTTCTAAGCTTACATGTTAGTGTTTGCACCATGTCTTCAACAGCAGATTCGGTTGATAATGGCCACTGCTGAGAGAGGCCAGTGTAGTGCAGGAGTTTCCTATATGACTCCATTCAAAGAGGAAAGCGAATCAGCCAAATTGTAAATGACCATCTGACTTCGTGAAGTTGAACGTCTTGCTTGAAGTTGGATGTCGAAAACGTACAGTAAGAGTGGACTCTTAAACACCGTATTGACGACCGCCTCATACCGTGCGTGGCACTGTATGGCTGTGACCAGGAACTTGAGTGGTGACCTCAGTCCGGATCCAGTCATGATCGATCCAATGTCTTGAGGCAGCTTTCAACCACACTTGGTGCTGCCCACGGCCAGCCACGATGCACCATGTCAACCAACGCTCAGCCGGTCAAGCTCTCTCTTCCCCTTGTAAGTCCACCATCTTCATTTTGACGTGCTTCATCAAATTGACTCCTGCCAGGAATACCAACAGAGCCTGTTCCAGGAGCTGCGGAATGAAGATGAGCTCGTCGTCCTCGCCCGTGGGCTGGGGCTCATGAGGCTCGTCACAAACCTGCTTCACTCTTATGATGCCGCAGGAAATAATCTGATTATCCTCGTCGGGGCCGAGGATCGCGAAAACAACTGGATCGGAGAAGCGTTAGCCGAGCATGCCGCAATCAGCCAGTCGCCCAACGCGAGGGGGCTCACGGTCGTCAACACCGACTTCACCAGTGTCGGCGCAAGAGAAAAGATGTACACTCGTGGTGGAATCTTTAGCATCACATCGCGGATCCTCGTCGTTGACCTTCTGACGAATCTCCTCGACACCGAGAAAGTCACCGGCCTCATCGTTTTACACGCCGATCGCGTAGTGGCTACGTCGCTCGAGGCATTCATTCTGCGGATCTATCGACAAAAAAACAAGGCTGGGTTTCTTAAAGCATTCGCCGATAATCCCGATCCATTTTCGACAGGCTTCTCGCCATTGACCACCATGATGAGGAACCTCTTCCTGAGAAAGGCCTCATTATGGCCACGCTTCCACGTTACGGTAGCAGAGTCTTTGGAGGGCAAGAAGACGGCAGAGGTGATCGAGTTGAACATCTCAATGAGCGAGCCCATGCGGGACATTCAAAACGCCATTCTGGAGTGTGTTGAAGTCAGCATCCACGAGCTGAAGAAGGGCAACACGGGCCTGGAGATGGAGGATTGGAACCTCGACAGCGCCCTACACAAGAACTTTGACGTGATCATAAGAAGGCAGCTCGACCCTAACTGGCATAGAGTTAGCTGGAAGACTCGACAGATCGTCAATGACTTGAGCGTCCTTCGGGGCATGCTCTCGTCTGTTCTCTCCCTCGACGCCGTCTCCTTCTTGCAACATTTAGATACCATCCATGCAGCACATTCGCCGCCTCCGGGGTCGACGAGGCAGAACCAGTCTCCTTGGTTGTTCCTTGACGCAGCGCAGACCATCTTCGAGACCGCGCGGCGTCGAGTATACTCTGCCAGCGCGAAAGCTGCAACAGCAGACGCCAACATTGATTCACTTCGCCCTGTTCTCGAAGAACAGCCAAAATGGGCTTGGCTGGCGGACGTCTTGACAGAGATTGACAATAGCATGCACTTTGACCCACCGGCCCGCGACGATTCCAACGGGACCATTCTCATCATGTGTGGGGATACAAACACCTGTAGACAGCTTCGAGACTATTTGCAAACTATGTATTTCAAGCCAAAGGTCGAGAAAGATCCGACGAAAGACGATGACGACGAAAACTCGGCATCCGCAGCTTTCATGATGAGACGGAAGCTGCGTAACTATCTGCGATGGAAACGGGAATTCGCCCAAGTCAACGCTACACTATTTTCCGAAAACCAAAAGGCGCTGAATGGCGCCACTGATCGAAACGGCCAGCGGCTTCGGGGCAAGGCACCATCGAACAAGCGCAGACGCATGCGTGGCGGCGGTATGGCGGGAACGGCCCAAGGGCGAGCCGACAACGGCAGCATCCTCCAATTCTTTGAGAAACCCACGGATGTCGAAGACCTCATGGCCGAGGTGCAAATCACAGAGGAGGAAGCGGAACAAAAGCCGGAGATCGTCACCGACCCCCTGGAGAACATGGAGGACTTTTTCCAGCTGTACGAGATGCAGGATCTGGTCGTCATCCACGCGTACGACGGAGACCAGGATGAGCACGTGTTAGAAGAGGTGAAACCCCGGTACATCATCATGTACGAGCCCGACGCCGCCTTCATCCGCCGCGTCGAGGTCTACCGATCATCCCACAACGACAGAAACGTGCGGGTGTACTTCATGTACTACGGCGAATCGGTCGAGGAGCAGCGGTACCTGTCGAGCGTGCGGCGCGAAAAGGACGCCTTCACGAAGCTCATCAAGGAGCGGGCGTCCATGTCCCTGGTGATGACGGTCGACCCCCACGGCGCCGAAGACCCGCAAGAGGCCTTCCTCCGCACAATCAACACCAGGATCGCCGGCGGCGGCCGTCTCGCCGCCACGGCGCAGCCGCCCCGCGTCGTCGTCGACGTGCGCGAGTTCCGCTCCTCGCTGCCGTCGCTCCTGCACGGGCGGTCCATGATCATCGTCCCCTGCATGCTCACGGTCGGCGACTACGTCCTCTCGCCCAACATCTGCGTCGAGCGCAAGTCTATTTCAGATCTCATCTCCTCCTTCAAGGACGGCCGCCTCTACGCGCAGTGCGAGACAATGTTCCAGCACTACAAGAGCGCCATGCTCCTCATCGAGTTTGACCAGAACAAGTCGTTCACGCTGGAGCCCTTTGCCGACCTGTCGGGCAGCCTCAACAGCATCGCGCCGACGAACACCTCGTCGGACCTGCAGTCCAAGCTCGTGCTGCTGACGCTGGCGTTCCCCAAGCTGCGCATCATCTGGTCGTCGTCGCCGTACCAGACGGCCGAGATATTCGAGTCGCTCAAGGCGCAGGAGGACGAGCCGGATCCCATCGCTGCGGTGCGCGCCGGGCTCGATAAAGATATGCAGGCCGAGGACCAGGCTTTCAATCTCGAGCCGCAGGATATGCTGGGCGCCGTGCCGGGGATCAATCCCAAGAATATCATGCGACTCGTGCTGGCGACTGAGAATCTGAGGGAGGTGGCCAACTTGACGGAGAGGGAGCTTGAGCCGATGATTGGGAAGGAGTCTGGGCGGCAGGTGTATGGGTTCTTTAACCGTAATGTTCTGGAAGATTAGACATGTAAAGACCAAAATACAGCGCTCTCTTCAATACCAGCGAGTTTCATACCATGGCGAAGGATCTTTTCGACACGGTAGTGTACTTTTGTCATTCAATGTTACGTAGGAGTTCTTGGCGAAGATCGCCAACGTTTAAGACCAACCGTCAATCACGACAAAAGTAATTATGTGTGTTCAATATCATAGTGGCACTCCTTTGTTTGTGGATATCGTGTTATACCATTCAAGCTAAGCTACTGGTATCTGGGTATCGTAAGGAAAAAGACAAAATCTCGTCGTAGGTATGCTGTCAAAGCTGATATCGCGTCGCGCTCTCCATTACTCCTCAACCCGTCCCTACACTCCCCCATTCATTCGTGTCAATAATTCGAATCATTATGGCTCGACCCCTTCCATCTTTATGTGCAAGACAGAAGGGTCGATCTAGACGCGACTTCTAGTCGTGGTCTTGTGGCGACGTCCGCCGCCGCCGCGACGACCGCAGTAGCCGCAGGTGAGGAAGCTGATAATGATGTTGCAGAAGGAGACGATGCCGCCGATGATGGCGTGGAGGATGCCTCCGATGCCTGAGATGACGGAGGTGAGGCAGTTGCCGATGGTCCGGAAGACGGATTGGACCTATGGGGAAGGTAATTAGGTTTTGGTTTCTTCCCTGATAGTCGGGTGTGGAAGAGGAATGGTGACTTACACAAGAGACGACGGCGCCCATTTTTGCGGTGTTGTGGTTTTGGTGGGTTGGAAAGTGGTAATTTGTAGAGTTGTAGAGGGAACCTCGAAGGGAGTTTGATGGATTGATTTGTTGGTGTTTGGCTGTGATGGGATAGGCCGAAAGGGTGAGGTAGAGGAAAAGGATAAAGGGTCTTATATACAAACTGAACGCCAAAGCAGCTTGGGAATGCGCAACGTCAAGGGACACCCCTTGTGACTTGCCAAACAGACACTCACCTTACATCACAGCAGAGCGGTGACACCATTACGAAAGTAAGGTACATCCCCCCGCCATCGTCGATTGTCTCTACCTTTACGGTGTACCTCGAAGGTCAGCGGTAAGGCATGGTATCGTATCACACATTACCCTAATTTCCGGGTCGCAATGGCGCTAGGAGAATTGGGGGAGGTGTGGTCTGGGCTGGAGTCTGTGGGAGAGGAAGAGAGTGCGAGGCGTGCAAGTGCTCTGCTAGCCGGGACACCGCATGGTGACGTCAATGTGGTGGTAATCTCCCGTGATACATCACCTTTTTTTTTTATCCACCTTCCGTCCCGTCCCTTCGTCTATGGTGAGGTAAGGTATCAGGGTATGTACTTCCACCTACCCCAGTCTTTTTCTCAAATGTACTCCCTCGGATTCCTTCAATGGGAGAATGTGTCTCTAAACCAATCGGTCGAGGGAAAGCCAATTTTCTATCTCAAATGAGAGAGAAAAATTTCGAGACGAGGTGTGATCACCCACTCACATACACGGTACACGCCACCCCGGTCCGCATCAAGGTTTCTGACCCCCATCACACGACGACATCTCACAGGGCCGGAGCGAACGCGCCGTCCAGAAGGAGCGACCAGTTCGAGTCGTTTGGGGCACTACGTTGGCACGGTTAGGGTGTGAATGGTGCCCGTTTTGGGTGGCTCCCCTCCACACTTATTGTGACTACATCAGTAACCGTACGTTAGCCCGCAGGAAAGATCTTCGCTACACGAGTCTGCGCCGAAGAGTTTGATTGCACGTCGGCGTTCATCAAGTCCCATCAAGCTTGCGTGGTTCCAATCGAGTGATTGGAGAAAACATGTCATGGTGCAGTTCGCAAACCAGACAAACTGAGAAAAGTAGCGCCCCCAGCCACAAGCGTTCTGGGCCAAGGAGAAATCGTGGTGGCTGCGGGCGTAGCATTTTGTGGCGGTCATTGCGACTTGTCTCATTTACCTACGCTCTCCCTTCCCCCTCCAAACAGGTTCCTGTGAAGAGATGACATCGTTCGTCTGGGCGCTTCGGTGTGTGTGCTGTACGAAGTATGGAGATTGGGATGAGAGGGCCATGACGTATGCGGCTCGGGGAATTCGTCTTTCTTGCTGGGGGCGGGAACTCGAGGGACTGGGATGTTGATTGAGTTTGTGTGGAGAACTGCCCGCCTGTACTGCGTCACACTTTTCTCACTCAGACTCTCTCTCTCACTCTCAGGCTCTCTTCCTGTCTCACAACGGCTGACGGGTAGCGCGCCCCGGTGCGGCGTGACCCCAGTCGCCCTCCAGTTCCCTGGCCGAATGTTCAAAATTTTTTTTTTTTTTTTTTTTACTGAGGCGCCTTTCTCGGGAGGTTTCACGAAGGGTCTGGAATGGTCTTCGAGGCCTGGGCGTTGTGCGTGATGGCTGGAGTGAGGTAGCGGTGGTCTATCTTGTCTCGGACGACGCACACTCATACGAGGGATGTACACCTCATCGCGAGTTGCGAGCTGTCCCGAAATCTCATGATTGTCTCTCAGTCTCAGGTCCTTGCAGTTTCTGTCCTTTCTTTGGGTTGGAGTGTTCATCTTGACGCAGATGTCGGCATGTTCCGCTCCATGCGCTTGGGGGAACCTTGAAAGGACAGGGCTGCACCCTGGTGGTGTTTGGAGACTATCTTGGAGAAGCATATTGGTCGGTATCGTCACTACTCGTCGTGAGGCCTCAGACCCTTGTCCTTTCAGATGCTTCTTTTTTTCCGTCGTCCTCGGATTGGAGGTTGACTGGCTGCCGGATCTCGGCTATTGGTGAGGTCCTGTTACAAACTTAGGTTTCTTATAGTTTTCGGCAGGTTTGAGTGGCTTAATCGTGACATTCCCCGACTAGACCAGGCCCTGGAGTTTTGTCCTGGCGAAGTACCTATCGTGCTGAGAAGGACCGTCAACGCCCGCCGACCTTTTTGAATTTTCTTGAGTTCACTTTGGCAAATTTCATTAAACAGGCAGTTTCCCTATACTTCCGTATCACGTCGTTTTTTCTTCCGGTTCGAATCACTTCATATTGAGGTGACCGCGAGCTTGAGGAACAGCATGAGCAACGTTTAATTAAAGCCGTATCGCGTGATTTTCCTTGAGAGCCATTTCCCGCTAATTTTTTGCGCCTGTACTCCGTAAAGCCGGAAAAAAAGTCCACAACATAGATCCCACCGGGTTGTCTCTTGGAAACACGGCCACTGAGTTGACTGCTTTTCGCAAAGTGTCGACTCGTTGCGAACGGATGCTAGTAAGACCGGCAAGGCTAGAAAGTGGACCAGAGAAAGCTTGATATGTGGCTCATGGCTCTAACTCACATCGCGAGGTTAGAAGCCTAACGAGAAGTCAGCGGGTGTTACGTAAGAGGCCGACTGGACTGCATCGATCTAGATCTTCAAGAAATCAAGGTCGTACTACTAAAGGTATCGCGAAATTGAAACATGACAGTACGGCGGCAAGCTGTGAATTGTATTGAGAAAATTTAGGACGATGTACGCATACTGCAGAGTTTTTGAGGTAGAATGCATCACGAATGAAAACAATGATCTGGTTAAGAGTATGCAGAATTATCGTGGCCTCCAGTTGGTGTTGGCCTTGGACGGATATGGAAGGCTTGTAGTTGCCACCGGAAGGTTGTAGATGGTGCTCTAGTGACTGGATTCCTTGTGGTTGGGTACTGATGGTAAAGCCACCCTTGAGAGAGGTCTGAGGTGCAATAATATGACTATAACACTGCGACAACAACGCAACGGGGTAAGAAGGCACTGGCGATATGGATCCAAGACATCGGTTCAAAGAGGCATGAAATGCAACTTGTCACGATGTATGGGCTACTGAATGTCATATAAGACCACGAAGTCTATTGTGGCGCAGGCTGCTAGTTGCTGGACCCGAGGATCCAGTTGTGGCTCATTGCAGAACTCGGGCCAGACACATGCCGCTATAGCGGTTCCGGTATCCGTACGCCCAGGATGCTGGGGCAGATGGCACTTGACGGAGTTACGTATTCCTTCGACCCTGTCCAAAGGCAAACTCTCTTTCTTTCATCATCAGAGGAGGGAGAACATCGACACACAAACACGACTTGATTCACGGCGATCTAACTCTCTGACTTTTCAGAAATTGTACCGAGTCTTGGATATCTCCGACATCAACGGACAGCAGACCCCTGTTTGCTGAGTCATTCCGGCCGTGAAGGATCAGTCTCCTCCGTACAGTCTGGAACCCCGAATTCCTGACCACCCCCTGCGCTCTGCCGCAATACATTCAAGCCCATATCTCTCTCGCGCGCTCTCAGCTTCCATTCTATCGACGCCCGCGGACGGACGACGCACTGTCAGGTAGACGGCGATTGGCCGCTGACCGCGCATGCAATCTTAAGCCTTTCCTTCAGCGGACATTTCAGGAAGACTGGACTCAGCGGCACGGCACCAGCATCCCGTTATCTATTAGCTGTACCTACTGGTGGTTCTGCCCCTCTCACAGCTCCTCCAGCACCGTATTATCCGGCTGTCCCGAAACGAAACCGAGCGTCGCTGACAAGAGGGGACAAGACTCTTCGTGTTGTTGGACTTTCCTGCGCGCCTGCAACTGCGACTGCGACTGTGTGTGTGCCTTGCCTGCCCTTGCACACTGCTGTCTGCTTGCCTGCCCGCCCGCGCAGTCTTACATGCCTTACGGTATCTACCTACCTACCTCCGAAGGCGCGCGGTCCTCATCAGAGGTCGCAGGTATTATTAACTTGCTGGCCCCGACGGAACCCAACCAGCCATGCCTTCCATGAAACATGGCTTCCTTAAGTAAGCCTCTATTTGCTCCTTTCTCCGATTCGTTCTCCTCCATCATCCGTCCCATGTCGAGCTGATTTTTTGCCGGCGTTGTTGTCCTTATTGTATTCTCCTTATTTCACCTAAACATACCAACGCATTCCTTGTGACCACGTGGTTTGCCTAGCCCTCCGCTCACCTGTACCTCACATAAGGCTGAGATCTCACTGAGACAACCCCAGAGAGAGCTTGGTGGCCTTTTCTCGTCACGTCCAGCCTTACCTATTCTATTCGATTTTGCTGTGTAACCAACAATCTCATCATTCCCATGTCTCTCCCTTGAAAGCACCTCTTGTTGGGGCCCGGGGCTTTTCGGTCCCCGCCTCGTTTTGCTTCTACTCTTGTCTCCGTCGTTATCAGTTGCGCTGAGCGTGATCGGATCACTCGCTCAAAATGAGTCCCCTAAAGAGCATGGCTAACGGGGGCTTCCTACCCACAGTCAATAAGAACAGAAAGGTAATGCCTCCTCTCCGCGCCCACCATCCTGCCGTGGGAAAGTCAATCCCCAAAAGTGGAGGATGTGCGCCGTTGTTGGTGACCACTCAGCGAACCGGTTTTGAGCTAACGTTACTTGACGCAGCCAAAGTTTGAGTTACATCTAAAGGTGTGAGCCCCTCTTGACACGGCAGTTGCTGCATCTTGGCGAAGAATCTTTCTTATTGACAACTCCTCCAGATCTTCGACTTGAACAACGTCCCGTTGGTATCAGGGACGTCAATAGTAAAATGGAACCTCGCACACTCTATTCACGCCGAGCACCGCGGCCGCACTCCGCAATGCCCGATCTCCAATCACAAGGTCGAGTATAACTATTCCAAGGTCGTCAGCCATATCCGGATCAGCATCGACAAGAATAACAACCTGACCGAGTGTCCCGTCGAATTCGAGGTTCTTCAACAATTCCCGGGCAGCGGCAGGGAGGAGAAGATCTCTCTCGGTATCGTCAAGCTCAACCTCAGCGAGTACGTGGAGGAAAGCGATGGCCTTACCCGAGAGAGCGCTAGCTTCGACCGCGGTCACTCGCGCAAGCGAAGCAGCGGCACCAGTCAGAGCCCAATGTCGACGAGGGCGCCGGTGCTGGACGATCCAGATGTCGAGGATGGCATCGTGCGGCGGTATCTTATGCAGGAAAGCAAGATCAACAGCACATTGAAGATCGGCATTTTGATGGTGCAGCTCGATGGCGACAAGAACTACTCTGCGCCTCCTTTGAAAACTGCACCCGTATTTGGCGGGATTGCCGGCATCATGGCGGGCGAAGCAGTTGAGCAAGATGACGCTGGACGTAAGTCTTCCACTGTTTTCTAAGTATGCGCTTCATGGCAGTCCATCTCGTACTAACATCTCCCCCAAGAGCTTCCAACAATGGCGAAATCCAGGGATGCCTCCGAAGTGCAGGACATGTACCGCCGCGCCCTCGCAGCCTCCTGGTCCTGTCAACCCGGCGAGCTCCCCGCCGATCAGTGTATCGAAGACATCTTTTCCGGCGGCGACGGGTGGCAGGCCGGGCGCACGGGACGCACCGGCAAAAAGACGGCTACCTTTGACCTGGACAACGGCGGCTCTCTGAGCTCCGACGAGGGTGGCATGAACGGCACCCTCCGACCCTCGGACTTTCGCAAATTGGAACGGAAGCAGCAGCAGCAACACCAACAGCTGCTGGACCCGCCTCAGCAGGATCACTTGCACCTGCACCGCCTGCACAACGGCCACCGCCATCATTCACGCAACAACAGCGGCTCTAGCGACAGGAGCATGAGGAGCTTGCGGAGCATTAAGAGCATGGCCACCATCGTTACAGGCCGTGGTGACGCGGCGAGCAGTACCGCCGGCGCGAGCAACGTCGCTCGTCGCGGCTCACATAGCCGAACCAGGGGTCGGGACGACGACCAACGTCTCGGAGTTGGAGGTGGTGGTGGTGGTGGTGGTGGCGGTAACCGAGGGGGCATCGGTGCGCGCGATTACGGGCGCTCGAGGAGCCGCAGCGGCAGCATGGTGAGCCTGGCGCCGACGATGGGCAGTAGTGATCGCGGGCGCGAGAGCTCGAGGAGGAACAGGGAGCTGGAGGAGTTTGACGTCCGTGATGATCTCGTCGCGTGGAGGTTGCCTGGTGCTGTCACATAAAAGGGGGACAGTGCAATGTGATTCAAGGACCGCTTTTGCTCTTCGTTCCCTTGTAGCTAGGTGTTTAGTGGGCAGGCGTACATTTTATCTTCTTGCATAGGCAATGCCTCGTTCTTTCTGATACTCATCCCTTGAACTTTTGTCCAATCATCATCCTTGGGGTCGTATGTATGTAGTGTCGGCTCGTGGTTTCAGCCTTGCATTTGCATCAGGGGAAAAACGAAAAAGATTCATTAACAGCATTTCGTTTTTCTACTTCTCTTCTCCCCAAGACTAACTCGCCTACAAAAAAGCTCGCTGTCTATAACTCCTTTTGGGCTCTCTCTCTATATTCCGGGTGTTCATGAGCATTGATTCATCCCTTCCATTTGCACTCCTCCGCCGCCTAAGATTGATGTCTATATAAAAAAGGGGGGACAGATAGGTTTTCGGAAAACAAAAGGCTCGTCTTTTATTTACCCCCTGATCCCTAATCACTCTCTTTTTACGCCTCGCCGTTTTGTTTTCTTTGCATTTCAATGGCGTGTGTCTTTTCTTCCTCACAGGCAAAAGTCGTTACTGGTCTCTTTTCAGATATAGGGACGATAACCCACTTCAAGGAGCGCTGATGGTGCCGCGGACACCGCCCTTGCCGCCGACCTCTCTCGCCGTGATCGTGACGCCCAAGTCGGCGGCGACGTTGATGGTGACCTCGACCTTGGCGCCCTTGCTGACGCCGCGGACGGCGGCCTCGGCGAGGGTGGGACCGACCTTCCAGACCTTTTCGCGGATGTCCTCCTCCTCCTCGTCGGAGAAGTCAGAGTCGTCCTCGTCGTCGGCCTCGGGCTTGGCAGCCTTGGGCTCGGGCTTGGTGACCTTGATGTGGGCGCCGCCCTCGACGATGCGGACGAGGACGTCGCCTCCGTCCTTGGGGGCGGCGATCTTGACGGTGCGGCGGGCGGGGACGGCGGTCTCGGCGGGGACGACGGGGACGAACTCGTCGTTTGCGCCGACGACGCCGATGGCGTTGGCGATGTGCTTGACGGTGGTGACGGCGGCGTGGGTGCTCTGGTCAATGTCCTCGGCGTCGTACTCCTGGATCAGGGAGGCCTGGAGGGCGGCGCCGCGAGCGAGGAGCTCGGAGGGGTTGATGGCGTTGGCGACGGTGGAGGGGGCGATGACCTTTGTGGACTCGGGGAAGAGCTGGGAGAAGTTGGAGGCGATGCGCGGGGTGTGGGCGGTGCCGCCGGCGACGATGACCTCGTCAATGTCGAGGACGTCGAGCTCGGCCTTCTTGACGACTCCCTCGACGAGGCGGTTGAAGCCGTCAAAGACCTTGCGGGCGACCATCTCGTAGCGTAACCTGTTGATGGTGGACTGGAAGTCGACGCCGTCGGCGAGGGACTCGACGCTGAAGCTGGCGTTGTTGCTGAGGGAGAGGGCGCGCTTGGTGGACTCGGACTCGGCCTTGAGCTTGGCGAGGGAGCGGGCGTTCTCGCGGGGGTCGGTGGTGTGCTTCTTGATGAACTCCTTGGCGAAGTAGTCGATGAGGACCTGGTCGAGGTGGGAGCCGGAGAACTCGTAGTCGTGGGCGGTGGCGAGGACGGTGTACATGCCGCCGCGGGAGGCGACGACGGCCACGTCGGAGCGGGTGCCGCCCAGGTCGGCGACGACGACAATTTTGTCCTCGATGACGGCCTCGGGGCGGGCGTCGTAGGCGAGGACGGCGGCGATGGGGTCGGAGATGACCTGGAGGACCTCGAGGCCGGCCTCCTTGGCGGCGGCGACGAGAGCCTCCCTCTGCTTCTCGGTGAAGTTGGTGGGGACGGTGATGACGGCCGAGGTGACCTTCTGGCCCAGGTAGTCGCTGGCGGAGCCGACGAGGCGGCGGATGTAGCGCACGGCGGTCTCGTGGACGGAGACGGTGGAGGGCTCCTCGGCGTCCTCCTTGTCCTTCACTGAGAAGGAGACGGTGCCGTTCACGTCCTGGGGGTGGGCAGAGGCGTGGTTGTGGGTGGGGTCGATGGACTTGAAGCTGTAGGTGGGATATTGTCAGTTCAAGATGCCAGGCGGGGGTGGATGGAGGGAGAGTTTCATGGGGAAAAGGGTAAAGCCATACTCCTGTCCGAGGAAGTCCTTGAAGTATGCGATCGTGTTGGTGGGGTTTCTGATGAGGAAAGCCTTGGCCTGCTGTCCGTAGTACTCGTCTCCGTCAACGTAGGAGAGGATGGTGGGAATTTGACGGTCTGCCATGGTGATATATGTCAGCGATTCGCTCTTGTATTGCCCCAGTGCCGTGTTTCCCATCCCCAAGAAAGATCTCACCTCCGTCCTCGTTGGCCATAACCTCGGCCTTGTCATCCTTGGTGTATGCGATGGAGCTGTTGGAGTTGCCAAAGGTGATACCAATGACGGTGCGGTCGCCCGGCGCGGGCCGCGAGTCACCGTTCGTAGCCATTTTGTGTGTGTATGTGTGTGTGCGTCCGGAAAGACGGATGTGTTTGTGCGTATATTCGTCGTGGAGGGGGAGGAGGCGACGATATAAGGAGTCGAGAAAAAGCAGGGGGGGTAGTAGGTATTTATTGAACCTTTGGTACCACAACTCCAGTAGAGATCTCGAAGGAAAGGAATGTTTTCAATGGTGGTGGGCGGTGGATGGTGGGGGTTCCTCTCTCAAAAGCCAACTGCGAAATTTTGGGCAAGGGAAAAAAAAAATTCCCACGTTCGCTGTCGTCCAGTCGCAGTGGGGCCCTTGGTTTTCCCCACATGGCCCATCAGCCGTATTCCAATCAAATTCAATTCGCTGAGGGAGCCACCGCCGCACACACAACGTGCCCCGCCAAAGCTTTCGACATTCAGTGACCGCTGCTACTGCTGCAAGGCTGACATCAAGTAGCAAGCCTACGGCAGTATTGAAGGCAAAAAAAGTACTTGGCATTCGCTCCTCTTCGACAATTTCAATTCAACATCACCACCCAAGATCGTTCCCGACGGTACAACGAAAACCCTCTCGACCATGGCCTCCGTCGGCCCTTACGTCCTCCCCGGCGACGAGATTGACGACTCCCTCATCCCCTCGCATCAGAAACTTCCCCTGCGCCTCGGCCCTGGCCTCCGCCATGTTCCTCCCAGGCAAATAGTGCCCACCATCGCCGGCAAGCTCGTCACAGATCGCAAGAAGAACTCGATATGGGTTGAGCAGACAAGCGGACGGGTACGATACACACACCCCAGAAATTCTGACATCAGAAATTCAAAGTTAACAAATGATCAAATAGTACATCCCCGCCGTAGGCGACCTCGTCGTCGGCACCGTCCAGCGCACCGCCGCCGAACTCTACTACGTCCTCCTCGCCGACTATTCAACACCAGCCATGCTCCCCCAACTCTCCTTCGAAGGCGCCTCCAAAAAGACGCGCCCCCAACTCGCCGCCGGCGCCCTCGTCTACGCCCGCGTCACGCTGGCCAACAAGCACATGGACCCGGAACTCGAATGCGTCTACCAATCCACCGGCAAGAGCGACGGCCTGGGCCCCCTCGTGGGCGGCATGCTCTTCGACATCTCGCTGGGCATGTCGCGGCGCCTGCTCATGCCAAAGACGACGGACCTCGTCGTGCTCGAGGAGCTGGGCGCCACGGGCGCGGCCTTCGAGACGGCCGTAGGTCGCAATGGCAAGATCTGGGTCAACAGCGAGAGTACCAAAGTCATCATCGCGGTGGGAAGGGCAATCCAGGAGACGGACCAGCGTGGTCTCACAATCGATCAGCAGAAGAAGCTTGTGAGATCGTTAATCAAAGATTTGAGTTAAAAAGGGGTTTCCTATGCAAACACGCCCTCCCGTGATGCTTTTTATGGCCTTTTTCTACAGTATTTACCCTGGCGGCAATCTCCGTGAGCCTCCAAACGCCAGACTGCTGCTGTTGCAGCACCCGATAAAAGAATGTACCTGTGTTGTCCCCTTATTTTTACTCCCTCCTCGAGAGGCAACCATGATGTATGTAACGAATTGCTCATAGGCAACGACGAAACGAATGATGCCTAGACCCGTAACTAGGCCCGATCCGTGATGGGAGGGTGCCTTATTCAAGTGGTCGGTCCTTCTCACTCACCCCCAACCCTGCTACATGCTCACAAAGAGCAAAGGCGGTCGTCGCTTGCAAGTCACTTGTCCGTCATTTCGACAGACCACTTCCCAAGCGTTGCCTCGTCTGTAGGGCGATATTGCCCCCTTTCCCCTGAATCGGTGGCATTGTTTCTGCGTGTAGAAAAGCTTATAAGAATCCCAACCCTATGTTCCTCCCATATTCTCGTCGACAATGTCGGGTTCTGGGTCGCCCATTGGTGTGACTTGGTGGATATTCATCATGTGCCGTCTCCAATTATCCTTTCTCGGGAATGACTTGCCTCCCGCCTTGGAATAGGGGCAGGTGCTGACGGTGCAATGGAACTTCTTCGTCTTCTTGTGTTTATCGTTGATGTGACGGTCCAGATGTGTTTTAGTACCGAACCTCTTTCCGCAGTTCGGATGGGCACATTCATGAGGCCTCTCGTGGTATCGTTTGTGGTGACTAGATCTGTCAGTAACATGTGCGAAGCAATTTCTACGCATCTGGACTTACTTCAGCTTGTGGACCTGGTCGAAAAATCTGCCACATTCGTCACAAATGAATGTTCGAGGAGACGGCTGCATTCCTGGGTACGGCGACGTGCTATTGCGAATATCCGAGCTGCCGTCTGATCGCGGAGACGGACTGCTGTCGATTTGGGTGTTTGGCGTGCTTTGGTAAGAAGGGCCGGAGCTGGTTTGCCCAGCTACCGGCGGCGAGTGATCGGATGGGTCGGTTATTTCGCCATCGAGGTAGTGTTGGTTATGTTGATTGTGTTGATCAGGCATGAGGTGGGTGGGATCAGGTAATTGCGCGACATCGTTCATCTGTACATCTGGAATAGCGCCATTCGCATGGCCGCCATTTGTGAGGTTCCAGTTCATCGCCTGGGATTGTCCGTTCTCATACAACTTTGGTGGTCCATTTGCTTCTTGTTGCTGACGGAGACGTTCCTGTTGCTGCTGTTGCTGAAGGATATACTGCTCCTGCTGTTCGTATGACTGTTCCGGTGATTGTGGTGTAAGAGCTTGTGATGCTTGCGGCGGTTCTGGTGCTGGCTTCGTAATCTCGACGGGCGGCTTAGGGGGCGGATGCGCGATATTGAATAGCTGCTGGTTCGTGTTCCACTTGTGCTCTGTCGGGTTGGATGGTGCCATGATGTCCATTGGATTTACAGTCCCAGGAGCCGGTACAGCTGGAGGAAGAACAGGAGGGGATTCGGTCGGCTTAACTGCTCTCTTCTTTTCCACATCCGAAGCGTGGCTAGGATCCTCCGGCTCCGACATGGGGCTAACAGGTAGGTGAATAGGCGAATCCAGCTGAGCGGTCCCGAACGATGGGCCAGTAAATTCAGTAGGAGAATCTGATAGTGTTTCGCTAAGAACGGGCTGCGATGGTTGTGATGGGTGGCCCTTTGAGCGGGTGGTCGCGGAGTCCTTGGTGCTCATACGACGTATCATGCTCGCTAGGTTGAGCTTGAACGAGCTTCCTCGAGAGCTTGATCGTCGAGGGAGTGGTGCGCGACTTTGAGGCTCGTCGGTCGGAGGCGGCGTGACCATGCCAAAGGCTTCTGAAGGAATAGTTGGGCTGTAGTAGGTCGCGCTGTGTCCGTGATTGGCTTCGGTATAGTCCATGCCGTCGGCTCGAGTAGCAACCAGCTCTACACCCACGGGGGTCCATGGATAGGACGACTCGCTGTTCCATGTGGGCGCATGTCCAAAAGAGTACTCGGTTGTGCCGCGTCTCGTCGTGACACTAGGTGGATGAGTACTGTCGCCGGTGAAGCCACGCTGGTGCTGGCTGCTCAGTTCATCGCTGGGAGGACGGTCGATGCCGTTGTGAGATGATAGGGCGGTATCCTTGGTAGACTGTCTCTCTGTCCCCCTCAAAGTGTCGGCCTTGTTCCCAAAGGAATCTTTTGAAGAAAGACGGCTGTTGACTCCGGGTCCGGGTCCGGGCGCCGGCGCCTGTCCAGAAGGCCCCATAGGCCCGGGGACGAAGGTCGTTTCCGTGTCGAGACGTTCGGGCAATCCATGTTTCCTAGCTCTTCTCCTCCGAACGATGAATGGGTAGGCGCAGACACCGACGAGGAAGACGGCGATAATAACACCAATAACGACTCCAGCAACCCCTCCTCCTGATAATGAGCGGCGCTCCAGTGTCGCGCGGTTGGTGAGGGATAACATCTCTCGTTTTGGCTTCAGCCGGTCCATATCAATTGAGCGTTTTAAAAAGGATGAACTGTCGTCAGATTCGCCAAGGTCTGATTGGGCGGTAATACCCTCAGACGATGCTGCTGGAGGAGCCATTTTCGGCAACCACGCGTCAGCACTCGCTGCACCACATGAACCTCCTCCCAAAGAGACCTGAGACACTCGGAAGACGACGACAGTAGCGGGTGCGAAGTGAGAAGGCGAGCTATAGGGGTTACGTCGCCGACGAGTTGTTGGTCAAGGCAGTCCAGATGGTACGTTTTGCTGAGGCGGCGTTGCGTGTGGACGAGCAGTCGCCGCGATGGCGATGAGCCCACGAGAGAGGAAGCGGATGAGGTGCAGTTGAAGTCAGCACCGTAATGGGGGCAGTTGGATTAATTAGGCCGGTGTACTGGTAGTTCAGCCTCACCCAGAGGCAGGTGCACTCAGCAAAGCGGGCGCAGGAGAGTACGGGAGTACGGGGGACCTGAGAGAGAGTTGGAGTGGGCTGCATCTCAGTCTGTGGATCAAGGAAGGTTGGACTGGGTTGCCTCCCGCCTCCACGTTTACCTGCAGATTAAGGGTGTACTTTGGCTGGACTGTGGCTCAGTCAGGGAAAGGTAGGGGAGACTTCTGGAGCGCTTACATCAGGTGGTGACGATGTGTGGAAATACCGGAACTTGACCAAAATTGCGCCCACGTGCAGGTCGCTCGCTATCAAAATTTGGCCCCGCAGTGCCGGCGCTTTGGCCGGAACAGACCAATCGTATTTTCGTAAAGCTTCACTGCCCCGCCACACGGCCTCTCCACGACCCTTGGTGTCTCCGTGTCTTGGTCGCTGGGAACTTTGAACTCGAAAGTTAGCAGCGACCGCCCGACAAGCTGGGCCCATTTCCCGGAACAAGAATGGCAACGCTCCATCATTCGCGCCGTTTCGCCGCCACCACTAACCAGTGACCAGTTACTGGTCCCTATCTATTCCCGCGGCCAGCGATGGGGGGGCGGCCACCTCGTGCCTCTGCCCCTGTTTGCTGGGTCGTATGGAAAGGAAAGAAGCCCTTACTTAGTAGGCTGGTGGGGTAGATCTCCATCACCGTTAGGAACTTTCAGGAACTTTCAGGTCGGCAAGGACTGCCAGCGGAGATGATCTCAATCCGTCAAACCGACGTGCCGGCGCCAGAGTCCGCACACAAATTCGCTCACATTGACGTCGGGTCGGGCGTCTGACGTTGACTGGTTTCATCCTTCAATGCTCTTTTCCAAAGCTACCTTAGGCTACATAAGTAAGGGAAACAGCCATCTTGCCGATGCGGCATTGGACGGCATAACAACCAAGCTCGTGCCGCACTTCGGCGTGCTGCGTTTACGTTCCAGCGACTGACAGCATCACCCTTGCGCCCCGGCTGAACCTGCTCCTCTGCCTGGGCACTGGGGAAAATATTCCAGGGACCTGCTCCTGGTGTCTATTGAACCCCTGTCGTGGCGGATCCCGATCCTGCATGCTCGAATTGGTGCTAATTCTGCGACAAGGTCTTGGGCTATTTTAGCCCACGAGACCCGGTCCAGCGGTTACTTTCCGCCGACGGTGAGATGCCTACGATATGACAAGGGCAATCATTGTGCTCAACCAGGATGAACAATCATCGCAAGAATCAAAACATGCTTGGCATTTGATATCTCTACGGCTAACACATTTTCAAGATGACGTGCTGCCTTTTGAAGTGTCGATAGACAGCTCTCGGTAGTTCAGACATAGTGGTCAGCCCAGAGTCTGCTTCACCGAGGCAAGGTACCGATGTCGAAATTGCCAACCTCGGAAACCCCCACATACCTCCACACGTCCGACTTCAACTACACGACATGACCGACCAAGCGATGAATGAGCGAATCACTTGGACGCATATTCGTATCACTTACGAGGGTTGCTTGATGGACTTTGGTGTGCCCCAGGCAATACTCGAGGCATGATGGTGAAGCTCCTCATCAGTATCCTGCAATTATCATACATTCTAGATATCTTTCAACATCTGTCACCTTCCTTACTTCAATCTAATCCCAAGCCACGGGAGGGAAGAGCAGTTCGTAGCGCAACATTTCACATCCTGCTTGCGTTTTTTTGTCATGACTTGAATGGTTACTGCCTGGATATCCGTACTCTAATACGCAGCCAGTATCTTTCTATAGGTTGACAGCAGCTCATTCCGAAGAGCCGCATACAACAATAGGCCCCTCAACATTATAGTATCTTAGTGATCATGTCTACTTTAACTTGATATCCTTGCAGTTGATTTAACTCTATTTGCCAAATAGACATCACTAATCAGCTTTCTTCAGAGTAATATCGATCATTCTGTTGGCCAGTATCTGATCTTCCTAGCCCAGTCCTTCTAGTTATGACCAGAACCGGAGTTTTGGTCAAGCATCCATGGTTCGAATTATTCAAGCCTTACACCCAAGAAGACTATACCTGCCCATTCATGTTGTTGTGTGTACAGGGCCTCGATCTGTTCCTCTCCCCAAAGCTTATGGAGCGTCCCATTTCCCAATTCTCAATATCACTCTGGATAAGTAACGTTGCCCTCGGCTTTCATTCCCTTGTTCATTCTGCCCAAATATCTGCAATACTCTAAGAAGCGCAGTCGTATTCACTTGACGTGAATCACCGCTGATTCACTGACGGAAGGTGGGCCCAACCTCAACTTCCACCCAAGGTACCTTAGGCAGGCAGGTAGGCAGGTCGCTACTGCCTCTTTTGAAAAGGTCAGCGGCACCTACCTTACCTTCCTGCCTTTCCCTTACTTACTTCCATCACTCCCGTCAGGTCGTCGACGACATCTACTAGAAAACTGCCCACAGTCCATGCTGGTTGAGTACTTCAACTTCTCACCTTCTTCAATCCTCGCGACAATACTTCGGCCGCCAACATACCAAGGTAATATTTTCTAACGCTTGCGTTGCCGTCAAAGAACTCCCGCTGACAAAATTCAGATGCTCTTCGCGACGTGGAATGTTGGCTACGGGCCTATCGACGATGTTCACGCGTCCCTCACAGCGAAAGGCAGTCATATGTCCCCCACGCCACAGAATGTTGTAGGTCTTCTCTCTTGATTCCATACCTGTGTTTGCCTTCCTGGAACTAATTCCACTAGCTGGAGCTCTCCGACAGAGATTGTGGCCGCCGGATGGTTCACTCGTTCAATAGCGCCCACGAATTCGCTCGCGTTCATCGCGAAGGAACCATCATAGAGATGGCGAACGAGGCCTCTGCTATCAAAAGGTTCAATGAAGCGCCTGAAGCCAGATACGCTTGGGTGATTGCTCCTGTGCCGGGGCCTTATTCACTCATCGAGTCGGATCTGCAGAAGAAGTGGATTGTGCTCGCCGAACTACCATCGACACCGGAACGCCATTTCCCTGACGAAGGCGACATGTGCAGCATCTCATTCAAGCGGGATTTTGTTTGCAAGGGCAAAAAATACAACCCTGGAACTCTCTCCGCACAGCGCATTCCCAACCCATACGAGACAATCCCGGGGATGAACCAATATTCGTTGCTGGCCGCTTTCAACGTTACCATGGACTACGTTGCCGACCCTATCACGAAGCAGCAGTACCACCCGCTCTTCTCCATCGCCGTGAGACATGACCTGAATTTCGGCTTCGGGCCAACGCCTCTCAGCTTGCAAAATGCCACCGAGATTAGCCTTCGGATTGACCAGAATCCTGTGACGTATGAAGCTGAATTGACGGCGTTGAGCATCTTGACTCAGCCGAAGAAGGAGGGAAACGAACTGTCGGAAAACACCATCGGAACCTTCGAGTACTTATTGGACTTCCGGAAACAGCCAAGTTTCTACATCAACATGTTCGACAAGATCCCACATATGGACAACCCTGCTAGCCATTCCAACGCGTACCTGCAGTCGGTCTATAGCCGACTCAATGCAGACCACAAGAATGTCTATGAGCAACTTCGTCGGATTCCGGCAGGACTAGCGATCATCCTCGGTTGTCCTGGTGCTGGAAAGACGGCATTGAACGCCTTCATCTCCGCCATGGCTGTCTCTCATTCTCGCAAACTCGTGCGCGATGACGGGAAGAAGATACGCAAGCAGGTGAAGATTCTTTATCTTCTTGACGTCAACTACCCCTGCGATGATGCTGCAGACAGAGTGTACTCAACGTTGAAAAAAGCCGGCATCAACAAGTCAGTGATTAGGGTTCGAGGTTGCGCTCGCGAGATGCGAAGCAGTGCAAAGCTTCATCCAACACCCTCGGCAAGCGAAGATGACGAGCCTGATTTCACCGCCGGATTCCTCAGACAAGCTCGTGCTTCTGTCGGTCTACCGCACGCTACTCATTCTACCAACGAAGCCCGTGGTGGCGATCGAGCGCCATCCCTTGACGAAGTTGCGTGGAAGAGGTACGACGCTGACAGAACCCGGTACAAGTCTTTGACAAAGATTCTCGAAAAGCTCGAGAACGGTGCTGTCAAGACCAAGAAGACGGCAAGAGAGCTCAAGAATCGTGTGGCTAGACTCTATCTCTCCGTGATTGCAGACGCCGATTTCATCGCCACAACTCCTGTTGGCGCGTCTGGATACCTGAGCAAGAACTTTCATCCAGACATTGTGTTCCTTGATGAAGCTGCTCATGCCAGAGAACTTACAACCCTCATCCCGATTGCACTGTATTCGCCCTGTGCGTTCATTCTCACCGGCGATACCAGACAAACCAGACCCTTCGTTGAAGGCGGCAAGGGCATGGAGAAGGAGAACATCTATGCAAAGCAGCTCATGATAAGCACCATGGAAAGAGCGGATCTTGCCGGGGCTCTGAAGAGCAAACTGCTTATCAGTCACCGTAAGTACCGTGATATATTGTTCGTATGACTACACTGCTAAAGACATCCAGGAATGTACGGAGACCTCCAAGTATTGGCATCGGATTTGTTCTATGATGGACAATTGACTTCAGGAATTCCCGAAGCTGAGCGTTTCTCCGACCCCGTACGCCACATGCAAAAATGGCTCGGGCAATTCACCAGGGGCCAGGAATGTACTGTCCCTCGAATCCTGCTCAACCTACGGTACTCCAAGGAGATGAAAGACCGGTCGAGCTTCTACAATCAAGTTCACGAGAATTTCATTAAGCAGCGCTGTCATGAACTGCTCAGACACCCGGAATTCAAACAGGTTGACAAGCCTGACCAACCTGGACGAATCCTCATTATCACGCCGTACAAGGCTGCTTTGATCCGGTATAAACAGTTCATCAAGACTCTTCCGCCCCACTTCCGGGGAAGGATGGATGTGGAGCTGCGCTTCAATGCTCTCGAGGCCCGCACTGTGGACTCTGCTCAAGGGCACGAGGCAGACTTTGTCTTTGTTGATACGGTTAGGACGAGAAGCGCTGGCTTCCTCGACGACCCAAAGCGTCTGTGTGTGATGTTGTCTAGAGCTCGAGTTGGAGAGATGATTCTGATGCATGAGGGCATGACGAAGAAGCGGGACCGTAATCAGCAACAGCATGATGCCGAATGGACTACAAAGGTCTATGATCATTGTCGCAAAAACGGTCAGCTTCACTATTTCGGTTGAACAAATGGCTGTGCGTTTGAGGTGGTTGATTGACTGTGGAGTTTGGAACAGGTAGCGGACGATGTCCCCGTTACCGCAGCTTGTGGAATGTTAGCTTGGAGGATAGATACTGCCACAGAGAGAGCCCGAGAATGAGATAATTGCAGTAAACTTTGGAAGACATTTGATGACACCGCGGGCTACTCGACTATCTATGATAGTGCAGCCTGATCTCGATTCGGCCAAGTCAGTCCCGAGGCGGTAGCAGCCAAGCCACATTAAGCAGGCTGCGGAATAACGAGGAGTGCGTCTAGGACATGGCTCATTGCCAATGATATCCTTTCGGAACCAATTACGAGAAGATGTTAACACCCAATGGAGACCGGACCGACCAAACCGATCGCCATGCGGGAACCATCACCAGTGTGAGCTGCCTTTGGGTGTCACAGCATTTGCCATGCCTGATCCTGTTCTATCCCAGTCTACAGCCTGATCTTTTGAGTAGTGTAATAGGATCATTGGCTTAGAACGATCGGCAGGCCATTGTCATTGTATCTTAAAAGAGCAGCTGAAAAGGCTTGCCAAGAAGATAGGCAACTGCAGAGTGCCCTTCCTCCGCTCGAGAAGCGTGCACCCGTATAAAGTAACTGGTACCGGTCAGTTCCCCCACAGAAGATGAGAAGGGAGTCTTTCCCACCTTATCAACCGCACATTGAGATAGTATCGATTGATCTCTTTCGATGAAGATTAGGTGACAGATTCGGTTGCAACATCGCCGCGATTCGCCCAGGCATCATCACCGATTGTCGACTTCAATCGGCCGCACACAACCGCCGTCAATGAACCATGACCAGCGTTCCAGCTGTATGTTTTGCTCAATGTAGTGAGTATTTTTCCTCCACCCTCACCGATGTCCGCCACACAACTGACAATATTTGTACACAGACGATGCCTATATTGAGGCGCAAGGAGTCGGGAAAGACCCTTCCTTGTGCAACATCGTGTCGCCCTTTGCGAAAGATCTCATAGATTGTCAGGTTTGTATTGGAGTTAATAGCAAGAATTCGACCAGTTTTGAGGATCTTGGGCCCGAGTTTCAACAATATCTGGACTTCTGCAACCAGGTACAGACGGTCACGTACGCCGCTACCATCACAAACCTCAATGGTGACGTTAAACTGGTGACTCTGACGAAGACAACAACGGGCCCGATAAATTATGCCCCAGCCACCTCGACTCCTTCTTCGTCTACTTCGTCGCAGAGTGTAATACCAACAGAATCAACTTTGACAGGTTCGTAACCGCCTGAACCGTCTTAGTAGAAAACCTCAACGTTAACCAAAAGATAAGAATCGACCCCAGCCCCCAATCGAGCATGGGTAGCCGGTCTGGTCATTGGCTGTGTCGCCGTCATTGCTCTTGTTACTGGTTTCTGGTTTCTCAGACGTAGGAGACGGAGGGCCAATCAGGTAGCTACTGAGAACAAGAGCGAAGCAAACGACGAGTACACCAAGGCCCAACTTCACTCCGACAGTCTGCCTCCCAAGCCCGCCATAGAACTCGAGGGGTCATACCCAAATCCCATACCGGAGATGAGCGCGAACGAGATTGCTGCACAAGAAATGTTGGTCCCGCACAGCCACCACGTTGCAGAGATGCCAGAGAAACGTAATTGAGCAGTTCGAGTACGCACAACCAGTCGAGGCATGGCTGGAAACAGTACACGAGGTGTAGAGGGAAGCAGCATGCCGAGCAGCCTAGGAACAAGTGAATAACGTATTGCCACTCTTTCCAGCCATGGTTAGTCTTCGTTCCATACGCATCGCAGCTACCCGTGCCGTCCTCAAAGGTCCAGCAAACATCGATGTAAGTCGACCAAAATCACCAGCCAGCCCAAATTTCCTCCATTTTAGGATCGTTTTGTGCCTTTTCACGGGTAACTGGGCAGAGAACTCCGGACGCCACGTAAGACGAGCCATCGTACAGCCATCACCACGAAACACACTCCTGTTGAGTAACACAGCATGACGGTACGCTCTCATTGGGCGCTTACCACCCATCACAGACTCTTGCACCATCCCATTCGGCCTGCGGGATCATGCTTACGGGCTGGCCGCACCGGAGATCACGGACTCCCGTTGAGCGGCTCATACCCGTTGCCAAGAAGGGCAAACATCTCTGCAGCAGAACCAATTACTATGACATGGTGTGGCGTTCGCAGTCCTATAAAGTCAGCTGCATGTCCGGCGTGCCTCGACGCTGTCAGCGTCTTCCATGTCTGACGCTCCTTTTTGCGGGGGAGGAACCCTCATAACTTACAAAACTCAAGAGAAAAGAAACGTCAACGACCTGGCTTAATCGAATGCTTCAAGTCGACTGAAAATGCCAGCTCCGATAATCACATCGACGATTGGGGCTACCTCCACGTACCCTACGCCAGAACCATCCATGGTGACCTATTCGGCCAGGGCATATTTTATGACGAGTCCATCGGGACCATGCATGAAACGTTTAAGTATGCATTTCACTCAACAGGTTTCTCGATCTCTCGGAGGTGAACTGCCGTCAGCGACTGACCACCACTGCGTCTTAGATGCCCTCTACATATACATCCAGGCAATCGGCAAACAGCCATTGATCTGCCACAAGGACGCGCACTTTCAGACAGAGTACGAAGATTGTATTAATTGCTTACATGTCACCGTGGGGGATTCAGGAACGTACATATCTGAACGCGTCGAGCCGAAATTCAAAGAGTATCTAGACTACTGCAACGGTAAACCTCCGGACTGGACGTACGCACCTTCACGATTGACTGTCGTCACCCGCGCGCACTGGGGACCCCTTACAGACTTTTATGGCGAACTAGTGGTGGGAGGTCTCCAGACGATCACGGCGACGGAGCTCAAACCGACGGACAGCAGTGAGGCAGGCGGCGGATGGCCGTCGTCATCCTCGACAGAAACTGGGAAGACACCCGGGACAGGAGACTCAGGTATGATGTCTGGAACGGCCATATTGACGCCATAATGATGCTAACCAAGCGGGATAACAGGACCGATACCAGGCAGCTCGGCATGGATAGCAGGGCCGGTCATTGGCGTGATCACGGCCATCATGCTTTTGCTAGGCGCGCTCTGGTTTCTCAGACGACGAAGGCATCGACTGGTTGATAAAGAGGAGTCGATGGCGACCGGTGTTGCCATTGGTACTCGTGGTGGTGGCTACAGCCAAGAGGAATATGAAAAGCCGCAACTGCATTCGGATTGTATCCCGCGTCGAATGGAGCTCGAAGGGTCGTACCCGAATTCACCCATGAGCCCTATGTCTGAGATGACTGCAAACGAAGTCGCGGCTCAGGAGCTTTCAGTGCCGGGTAGTCAGCATGTTGAAGGGGTTACAGAGAAGAACAGCTCTGCCAGGCCGGAGAGCCCGGTTCTTGGATGAGATAGGGGTTTGTTTTTCACTGATTTCCACTGGAGATGAGTTTCAACGTAATAGCGAAGGTCGGTCCCCTCATTCGAGACCAATTTAACAGCTGAAATGGAGTCTCATTTTTTAATTTATGAATATTTCCTGAGAGGGCGTGGTATCAACATCATGCTTCACGCAAGCCGGCCGCCTGAACTAGGTTTAGTCCTTCTTAACCGATCATGTTTCGCCTCATCCTGCTCGACCCGGTGAACTGCAAGTTCTCGTTGCCCGTAACACCAGTCAAGACATTACCGATCCCCTGCACCTCGCCGTTACCGCCCTGCATGATGGCCGCGTAGTTATTCGCAATCAGCTGAATGCCCGACACGAACCCCTGCTCGTCGAAAGCGCAGTGCCCGCCGTTGGGCGAGTTGTTGACCGTCTGCTGGGCGTTGACCTGGGCGGTACTCAACCCCGCGTCCGTCGCAATCTTCTCGTACGCCTTCACGGACGCCGGGATCGCCTCCTGCAAGTTAGAGAGCTCCTGCAGCGTGCTCTGGAAGTGGATCCTCGTGCCCGCGACGGCTTTCGCGTCGACGACGTCGACCTGCGGGGGTAAGCCGCCGCAGTTGAGCAGCACGCCGTTACCGGCGAAATTCTGCATGTGCGCGGGCATGAAGAAGCCCGAGAGCATCAGGGACCCGCCCGAGACGCCGGTGAAGAAGACGTTGGACTGGTTGAAGGCCATCATCTGCGGCAGCGTCTTCTGGACGAGGTCGTTGACGGCCTGGGAGTGGGCCACGCCGTCGGTGCGCTGGAGCCCTTGGCCGCCGCCCCAGAAGAGGTTCGGGTCCGGGGCGAGGACGGCGACGCCGGCGAGGTTCTGCTGGACGCCCTGGTTGGGCATGTCGAAGAAGGATTGGCCGCCGTCGCCGTGGAGGAGGACGTTGAGGCCGAGGGTGCCTTGGGCGCCGGGTTGGGCTGCGGCGCCGGGGACGCCGGAGGCGGCGGTGAATTGTTCGGCTGGGCCGCTGATCTTGAAGCGGAGGTCGAAGCCGCTGGGAGGAGATAGGGTTAGTCCATGCCCACCCAAGAGAGGAGAAGGCGAACAACGGGACTTACTTGACGTTGGCGGTCATGTCCAGAATCATGGATCCGTCAGTAGCTTGCGAGATGCCCTGGGGCACGGCGGCGGCCTGCTGCTGCGCCGTCTGCCTGTTGGCGCGGCCGTTTCCGTTCCCGCCCCGATTCCCGTTTCCTTTCCTGTTCTGGGGCTGAGGCGCGCCGTGGACGACACTCAGCAAGCTGAGGACCACCGCGAGGGCGGCGACGGGGGAGCGGACGGTCAACATCCTGGTCGAAAGCGAAAGAGAAGGAGGGAAGAAGAAGACTGTGTAATTAGAAGACAGAATTATACGAAGGGAAAAAAAAAAGCTGCCAAGCTTGCGGTGCGTCGCTCTCCCACGAAGATCAAATCGTTTTGGAAAGAAAATTCTTGGTATGAAACGAAGATTCGGAATTTCCCAGAAACCCGGGGAAGGAAAATCAGAAGAAGAAGAAGGGAAACCCAAAAGGAAGGGGGATGGGGTGGCAGGTTAGGTTTATCTTAAAGAACCGTTTGCTTGCATGAGCATCGACCATCCCGTGGTCATGGGTATTGAATAGCCTCTCCTCTCACGGTCTCGCCGTCCGAATGACAACCGACGGCTTCTCTCCTTTCCCTCGCCCTTCGCTCTGGCACTGACCAGCATCGTGACTGGCTCTATCCCATCTCCTTTTGGCTCCTCTGCATGGGTTCGACTTCTCAAGTGAGCGCCCCCCGTCTTCAGACTAAATATGGGGAAAGAAGGGCGCATCAACGGTCAGCCCACCCTACAGACTACCAGCGAGCCCAGCTGGCGGGAGCCATACAGGCCATCTGCGAAGCGAACCATCTCATTAATGGAGAGACGAAAAAAGAAGGGAGGGGATAAGCTTGTGTTGTCTCTGTTTCGCCTGGACTCGGTTGTGTGTGAGAGTTGGGACAAGTCAGTCTGGGTCTGATCGCCCCCTTCTGGCTAGTAGTCGAGTTGGTCATTACTCCGTAGTCAAGGACTTAGAAGACGGGAGTGGCTTTTGATCTTCAATGTGCCAGGGAGCAAAGGGGAATACATGACTGGTCAATCAGTTCGACATGGAACTAGGTTGTCCGGGACAGTTATCACCCAAAAGAGCGCCTCTCTGGGCCTACGCAACCAAAAGTGCGTGTACGAAGTATGAAAAGGGATGGATTGCCAGCGAGAGGCTCGACGACGGTTTCGCTTGGCGCTGCGTCTCCCGACTCGGGAGCAGAGCCATCCAGGGCACCAAGTTCGAGTTCAACAACAAGGTGTCGCAGAGCGTTTGAGGTTCTTTGTCGTCCGGCCTGCACTTTGCAGCAGAAACTCGAAACCGACCCCGGGCGCCCGGGTCCACCCCTGCGAAGCCGCAAGGCACACCCGCTCGGGGCTTGTCGCTTCAGACCCCGGTTCGGGGAACGTTCTCCCACTCGGGAGGCGACCGTCAATTGACAATTACAGATTTTTATTTCCCTGATCTTCCCCCGTGCGACAGCGAATGAATAGGTTTGTTTTGCCACGGTGAAATGCTTCCATGGAGATTTCCAAAAATTCCAGTTCCACCACTAAGAGGCGGGGGCCTGTTTGATGGGGTTTCTGCGACGTTGGGAGGCTTGGTATCCGCAGGTTGTTTTGGATCCCTGGTTGCGCTAAGAGATGCTTAAGTGCGACTAAGCCTTGAGGCTCTTTGAGGGGGATTAACCGCCGATGTGGGTTTGGCAAGTCAAGATCGTTGACTCTGGGTCTCTAGTGGCTCTTCTAGGTACGAGGAACACAAGACTTATGGTCGCTTGTATAAAGTTTGCACCAAATGCTGAATGATAGTAGGGTGAACAACATGCTTCAGGAATCGGGGGGTTCGTAGTCATGGAAGTTACTTGAAGGAACTCAGGACGGAAGCCAAACATGACACATGTTTCTTCGACACTAATTCGCTTACTTTCCAACGACCACAGGGGCTCAGACGTCATTCGTTTCGGAACCGACCTGTCTGAACTCGTATTCAGCCAAACGACAGCATTTTGATGTACAGAAGACGCTAAATATAAGCATTTCGTGCATTTCGTAGGCATAACGATTAACGCACACATAACCGAACGATCATCTAATACCCAGCATCACATCAATCCAACCCTTCTAAACACTAGACCCAAATCTCGTACTCC